GTTGCTTTTGAACTGTGTTTACACTCATCTTAACAACTCGATATTATTTAAACAAAAGCACTAGTGTTGTCAATAACAATTACTCTTTAAATATTATATGTTTATATCACTGTAAAGTCAGATGAGGAAGTTATCGAAGAGGATATTCTTTGCACAATATTTCTGTCTTCTAACAGTCTAGATGGAAATCTTCGTTATTTCGAGTTCCCAGTTGGTTGAGTTTATTGGATCAGTATGTTTGGTTTCTGTTGAAATATCTGCTCCTAGTACGGAATCATCAACACTCATCATCAATGAAATATAACCATGCTATCCTCAAAGCATTATCGAAGCATCCATATTAGGGGCTAGCATGCCGATAGAGATCAAAAATTTTGATCCGATATAATCATTCAACGGTAAAGTGAAAATAATTTCAACAAAATGTTGTAAATATAACTTTAGAATAAGATGTATGTGTTTGGGAATTCCTTAAAAATACTAACCTAGTGTCCTGCGTGAATGCTTACTTCCGACAGTAAGATAAGTAGACACTTTTGAGCATCTTCAGAGTATTATAAGTGAACCAAAGGTTCTTTATGATAAGCTGAACGTATTCATATATAACATCACTTGTACACGGCATCGGCTTTCAATGCATCATGTGACAAGATATTTCGTTATAAAACTATGATAGAATAGTTGGAAACGAGCAAATGGTTTTTTGGTTTTTCTCTACTCCTAGACTTTAACAGCTTCCATTCAACCTCAGTTACATTTCAATAAACAATGTAGTGCTGAATGAGTACTAGCAAGTAGTGATGAATAACGGAGAAACTGCTGTTCCCTATGATGTTTTGTTCCGCGAGTTGATGACAGATCAATTTACCTAACAGAATAACTGCGGCTTTATTTTAAGTCAGTAAACTAAATAGTCTCTAAAGAGAAAACAAGAAGTTTAGAAAATGTTTTCTTTGGCTATTTCATTCTCACTAGCTGTACAATCGCAGTTAATATACATATGCTATGAAAGTTACAATTGCTATTTAATCTGATAGAGTAGCGAAGGTGAGATCAAAGAAGATTATAATTTTTGAAGTGATATGAAAGTTCTTAGGGTTGTCGAGGCGTGAACAGAAGTCACATGGGGCATAGAAATCACAATAATACAGGATTGAAAAAATAGCTGCGTAATCTATGAAAAAGTTTTCACAGAAGGCAGTTGTGATCAGGATATGAACTGAGACAAATCGAAATGACATTCTTATAGCTGCAGATGAACAAAAATAAGGGGAATAAAAAAAAACTACTGAAAGAGCTACCGAAAATGGAATCTCTGATTCATTTTCTAATTCTAGTGTGAATTTAACTGAAACATGACAATGATTCAAATCTTATAAAATACAATTTAAGTCAGGATCATTATGGAAACCGTAAAAATGTCACTGAAATATCCTTTATACAAAGTGATTTGCTAACTGTTGATTTAAAGATTCTGTTTCCTAAACTGGCCATGAATTAGTCTTCCAAAACTGGGTCAAGAGGAAAGCCTGTGGCGATTCCATCTTTTTGTCCGTAGATATCGTTGTTGGGGATGGGGAAGAGGTGAAGTGCGCACTGAATGTGCATCTCAGTAACAACTCTTAGATGTAGGGTTGATATCCTGATGCCCAGGTTCTTTTTATCCATATATCTGCACAGAAAGTAGATTATTTCTTTCAGCTGTACGATGGTAAATAGACAACCTAATGTCCAATGAACACATTCGTTTCCCAGTTAAGCACAGATATTTTATACAATCAGTGTATTCAAAAATATTATAGATAAAGAACCTAGATAATTGTCTCCTAACATGCTGTTAGGGTGATCCCGACATATCTGCTATTGTCTATGTTAGCGTCTTATTAATCCGTTTTGCTTTCGTCATTCAATAGTGTTAATAACTACTAAGATATTTTTTATTTGATCTGTGCCTTAGACACTTTTTTGCACTGAGCTTCATAGTAGTCAGATGAGTCTTAAGAAGACACTGATTTCTGATAGTATATGAAATTCTTTTAGAGATGATGGGTTTTTTATGTCACATCGGTTATATCAACAGACATCTGGATGGCAGTTACAGCCATGCCTTGACAAATATTCAACTGTTCTCTTCTTAAATACTTATACAATGTTAGTAATTTGACTGAATAGTGAAAATCTGAATGGCGACAGTATTCTAACCAACCGAACTAAGCTATGAAATGATGATCTGGTTGACAGTTTACTCTCTTAGATCACCTGTCAAAGAGCTAGACTAGTGATCCGGGGGCTGCTAGGTTGAATCCTCCGGCGACTTTTAGTCATTATTACAGTGTTGTTGTTTCAAGTTTCTTTTTTATTTCTAAGGTAAAAGAGCATTCGATTTATTCAGTGTTTATGTTAAATCATTGATTTTATGAATATTAGATACCAACGTCAGTCTCTGTCTTACTCCTACTCACTCTGCCTACCTGAATATATAAAGCCTTAGTATTGTAATTCCATTCTGTATTGCTGGTAAATACACAGGTAAGGTCGACCATGAAATCTTTGCTCATTTTATTAGCTTTTAACACATACAACAGAACTGATGCACTACAAACTCTGAATACATAGAACATTAGAAGAAATATGAAGAAATAGAACTAAACTAAAGGATTTGAGAAGCCATGCAATTATGTTCACAGAATTTTGAAAAGCAAATCATCTTCTAAACGCCCCGAATTTGATTGTATTGTGTAGCATGCTATACCAAATAAAATTGCTGTATATCGTACTATACTTCACCCCAGTTCTGAAGTTCTGCTCTTACATTAATAACCCTTAGTTGTAGTCGTGTATTAGCTGTTGTCCAATAACGTGGTCAGTCGTTAAGTGTGGAGAAGGAACATTTTAAGGGACATCAGAAAACCAGTTTTTTTGGTGTGACACAATGTAAGAGACTGGATAAATTTCTGTCAGGCTAATAATATTTCTACCAGAAGTCTGATTTCCGAGAAATGTAATGTGTTATGTAAGCGACTGCATTAGGAGTATTTTTTAATAGTAGTCAACTTTGATCATTTTCAATCTTCAGTAACAAGGATAGTAAGTCGACTGATTTGTTCTGGTCCCTGTAGTATATATCTCTGTGAAGATTTACTTCTTCCTAAGTGTCTTTATGGAAGAAGTTGATAATACTTTCTCAGCTGAACAGTTCCAGTCACTGATCACCTGGTGGAAGAGGAGAAGATACATTTTAATTTGAACTGCTGCCTATGAACTTTCTTTTGGCATCATCACAAACTGTGAGGGAAAATATGATATGCCAGTCTCAAGGTTATTACTAAGTTCACGGAGTAGTATTATTAGACCGTCATTTCGCGTTAGATAAGAATATGTTAAGGCCATCTAGTTTCCTTTGTAGAAATATATGTAGTGGACCAGTAACCAAATTAACATTACCTCTCTAAACGCATTCTAGAGTGAATGGCTGCTTAAAATACATTTCAACTATATTCGTACGTATTTAGAACAAAAAATCTAGAATATATCTTCAGCCAAACATTTGAAAACCATCTAGGAATCGAAATAAATTGAGGCGTCATCAATTAGAGTTTCAAAGTTCTAATGTGTCGTAATGGTTTTTCCACTAGTCCTACAAGCAGTAGTTGAAGGGATTTTCACCACTCTATAAATGTAATATCCACAAGCCACTTGTTGTAGAAAGTATGGCTGAAACCCGTTTATCCGTGTGGAAGGGTTATTCATTTTATTATTTTAGGATAAGATTGTCTGTGCCAGTCAAAAAGCGTAAAGCTTCTGCATTCCTATAGATTTTTCAGTAGGGTTTTAACTTTTAATTTAATTTTGGCGTTTGAAACTATATGTGTAAACTATTAAAATATAATTATACTTTATTTGAAACTATATGGTTTGAGCCTCGGTGGGGACACCACCACTCACTGAGAAATGCAGGTACATCCAGATGACAACTCCCAAATAGGATGAAATGCGCTTCCTGGATTCCACAGCTAGTCATCACCCACCGATTGGCTTCGGATGCTTAAACATTTTTTATTACGATATTATACTATTGGCTATTAAACTACTGAATAATTTATAAGTAGTCTGCTAAATCAAAACAAAAAGGCCTACAGAGTGGCATGACAGTCAGGTGAAGTAATTAGTATCAATGAGGAATATGTAGTTTATTGAAATAATTATTCAAAATTTACAGATAAGTGTTTCATGATTCACATTAAATATCAAATTTCTCATTCCAATAAGGTTCTTTTATATTGATGACTGAATCAATCTGTAGCTAAAAGATCTTGAATCCAATAGTTGGAATCCATTCTATTCCACTGTCATCCATAAAACAATTTCGATTGACTGGACAAAAATTACTAACTGTATAAACAGCCTAGAAACTTAATTAAAAATATATCTAATTTCAGTGTATACTTAATCACTATAACACTGAATGGAGATGAAACTACAGACTGCGAATATATAGAAGCTAAATTCCATGGGTCATTTGATTCCAACCCACTCATTACATAGTCAGCAGGTTGTCTTTGTAACCTGAAGGTCCTGGGTTAGATTACTGATGAGTACTGCAGAAGAATTCCAAACTAAGACGAAACTACTGGCCAGTACTTGATAGTTTCCAACGATTTTTTAACTTGTCGGTCAGCGACGAAGTCCACACTGGAACTAGTCGAAACCCCTACAAACCCCCGAAATCTGAATACATCACTAATTGTCCGCATAAGCTACAATTTTTAGAAGATCCTGAAGTGTGACATCACTTGTTTTCACTAAATATTGGAAGGAATTAATAATATACCAGTTGGGAAGAATATCCCTGTACAGTTATGATTTCTCTGTTTTCATAAATCAGTCCCGCCATGCTGTGCAAATTCTGTCAGGTGGTTTCGTGTAAAAAAAACTACATTTGTAAATATAAAAAAGTTATAATCTCTATTTAATTCCCTAAATATATTACTTCTGTTCAGATGCCTAACCAGTTTATGATATCGGAGATTCTTGAAAATTCTACTACTGAACAAGCAACTCTCCGAGAAAAAACAGTCATCAGTCAGTTAAATGAAGTAAGTAAGGTGAACCGTTTTCGCCTTGTATAGAATGGTCATTATTGATTTTTTAGAATATCAGTTGTCCAAGAAACACGATTACTCCAGTTTCTACTGTTTCAATTCTAAATCAGCCACATATCCTTCCTGATATAAATGATATAAGACTGAATAGCTCTGAATTGTTGACAATCAATAATATTCAGCACGGTATTTCAATGATATCTAATAGCAACAATGATAATAGTATTAATAATAATAGTAATGAAAATGCTCAGATAAATGCTGATTTATTTGGCTGTTTGGATTTTAATTACTGCACAAAACTTCTACAAGGATTAATCACCTCTGGTGAAATTATTTGTGATAAAAATGAAGTAGAAAACAATGTCAATTCAAACAAATTAAATCACTGCTGTAATCTATACGATCATATTAGCTATCAGCCTCATTCTCTTCCGCCTCATGATCATAAGATGGATGCTAAAAATGCCAAAGGTGGACAAATGCATCATAAACATGAGATTGATTTAACCAAAAACAACAACAAAGACAATGTCATCTCTGATAACTGTTCAATGGATCACCAGTATCAGCAATATCAATCTGATCACGACAGCAAGGAGTTTCAAAGTATTTTTCTGAAACTATTCAGTTACACTATTTCCAGACAAAATATAATAAATCGCGATAGCGTTAGTCAATTTAGACACATTACAGAAACTAACAATACTGAGAATAATGTATTCTTGGAGAATAGCACAACAGAAGAGGAAAATGCTTCTCATGCATATCAAAGCAAGTTTATAATCAAGGGGAAAAATTTAAAGATTGTATAATTCTGTATATATGAAACCAAACATTAGTAACTAACTATAGGATGGATGTCCTCCAGTTCTAATAGTAAGTCGTGTCCAGTGGGAATCATGACAAATACCACCGGATGACACTGACTGGAGGTGAAGATATATATCGCGAAGTGGTAGGGGCTGGACGCTGGATTCCGTATCAGTTGCCAACATTCGCCACTAGTTAAGTGGGTTCGGTCCCTGGTGGGTTATGGATGCGTAGTGATGAACAGCCCAAAATAAGCGGCTGTCCAGGACACCCAGATTTTCAATGGTTCACCAACTGATAACGATTTTCAAAGACCAGTTTGTAATGAAACGTAGCTTTAGAATAAAGTTTTGTTTTTATCGATACCTCACATTAGACTGATTCAGTTAACTGGAAGAATATTTTAAATGCTTAAATTTTATGTTTCTGTTAACTATATATTCTTTTACCAGGCAATGACTTCTACTAAATTGTTTAAGCTAATATATAGTTTAGGCAACAAAGTTGAATTAAATATCTTCAGAAGACTATTTTCAAATATATATACATTATGGATAATTCTTTGAAGAATGGAGTCAAGTTAGTCTCGTTTAGGTTCCAGTTTTTTCTAACTTAGTTGCCTGGATCTGATCCCCCACTTACGGTAGTATAAGCCACATAATTATTACCTAAGCGCTAATTATACTACGAAGTTGGCTAGAATGAATTCGGGGGAGACAGAGAGTTAAACCCAAGACCTGTCTGAAAGTCAAATGCATGAGACGCACTTCCAGTAGTAGAAATAATGGAAACAGAAGATATTGTCACTCTCTACGATTAAATATGGGTCCTGATGAGGAGATTACAAAATAAGATGTTCGGAGGAAGCATTATATAATGATCATTTATTTTAAGCAGTCTGCTCCATTTTCTAACCATATTAACAACGTATTTCTGGCTATTTGTTGGCATTCTTGTGAAAGAAAGGAAAACTTGATTTTCTGTTACTACCTGTAGTTCCAAGTTCTTAGTCCTAAGGAACCAGACTAGTTGGATTTTACTGATGGGTAGCCTCCTTGTAGCTGTGCTTCCACGTTGCCTCGAGTTTTATTTTATTTTAATGTCTAGAAGGTAAATCAAAAGTATGCATTCAATCCTATTTGTGACCTGCCACCTACATTAATGAGCAGCCGCTTTCTTTGAGAATTAAGTCTAGCGGACTCAAGAGGCTTTGAAACATCCGTTTAAGACACCAGTATTTATATAGCGATGAACCAATACCCTCTTCCACTAAAATCTAAAACTGGGAATTAAGAAAGGAAACAGTTAGCAAAAAAAGAGATCCATTGCAAACGAAGTGATTGTCATGGCTCAGTAATGCAGTGAGTGATACTGTAACGTTTGAAAAGATTGGTGCGGGACGAGTTTCTTAGGTAATACCACAACCACTCACAGAGATGAAATTATATCCATACAATATGTTGAAAATAAGAGAAAGCGAGCATCCTATAGGGTATTTCTAGCCACCAACACACAAATTATTTATGAAACTATTTCTATAAATTGTTGCGTGGACTAATCACAAAATGGATGATTTTTCCCAAAATAAAGAAGACAGATATTCTTCTCTTTAGTTCCAGAAGGTTCTAAAACACATAATGACCAACCATCAGAAGTTACAAGTCTACCAACCGTACAGATTAATCCAACCACTATTTACAACAATCATTTAGAGACTGAAACTGATCTGTTACCTCTAATATACAAGACATTCAAGCTTAATTCTAACCCAATGACTACACCTGGCAACAATCAATATAATGTCACTATCACTACAAATTCAGAACCAGATCAATCAATGAATTGTCAGAATCCTACCGGCTGTATGACAATGACTGATATAATGAAGTTATCTGGCGAAACATCACAGATATGGTGTTTCAGATCTGATACTAATGAAAGAGTAAATCCATACACAGGAAAACAGTTGTTAACCAGAAAGAAACGAAAACAGTGCCTATCTAAAATGAAGAAAATTCATGAAATAGAGCGAAAACCAAGACAAGCTTATTCAGCTGTTCAACTTGAACGTCTAGAGACAGAATTTGAAGTAAGTCTATTCATCAGCTGCATTCAGTGTGTTTTCACAAGTGTACTAGTCAAAGATTGCATTCTATAAATTTTTAAAGAATTCTTCTTTAGTTAAGACATAGGTATTAGTATTATTCTCTTAGGTTGCTAGTGGAACACAGGACTTCAGCAACACATCTACATTTCACTCTGTTTCCCTGCAGTCTGTTTGCGATGGCTCCACAATTGCTTCTTAGCTTTCACCTCCTTCTTACATGATCTCCTCCATGTCACACTCAGATCCACACATGACTCATTTCCTATTAGGATGCCGTTTGAACGGCTGGCACGTGATGCCACTCCGTGTCTCAACATGTTCATTCCCTACTACACTCTTGTTGGGGGAGAGGTTGTTGGCTGGTTTATTACCAGAGTTCCCTATTGCTAGTCCTTTCTTGTCGGCCATCTGATCTCCACTAAGGGAGTGAAGTAGCTTGATGTTAATGTAAGTCTGTAACAACAGCTCACTGGAAATGTCATCTAAACCATATAGAAACACCGAATGACTTGACACTAGTATTGAAAATTCATATCTCGTTCCATATGCTGAGTGCCGCAGATTTCCACATTGATTTTATAATGATGAAGAATCGTCTTGTTTACCCAATCCCATACTGGCTGGCATCGACATCTTCATACGTCTCGCTTGTGGATGAAACTATGCTACTTAGGTAAGTGAAAGAGGTAACCTACTTCACATAGTAAAGTCAAATCAATCTGATACCTTGAATAGATGCAATGAGTTAGTCGAACGATTTAAAATACTAACAATAAATAAATGATGGTGGTAAAAAAAACAGTACTTGTTACGATCCGGTTTGGAAGATGTAACGGATATAAGCTTTCTAACTGTGAGAATGTATTGGTAAAGTAATCCTGCAGCCTAAAAATGACATCATTCAATTAGTCCCATAAAGATTTAATTCCTGTTGAGTTTAATAATGTATATGAGTCGGTTACTCCTACAAATCGAACGACGCCCTATGGCTATTAGGCTGGTTGATATAGTGCTCATATAGCAGTATCACTTAATCTTTTCGAAAGTTCGAAGCAAAGGACGAACAAAGGTCGATATCTTCTAGAGGTGTTTCATTCTAATATTTGAGGTCAACCATGACAGTTGATTTCGCTGACTTCAGACACGATTATGAAATGACCAATTTTCAAGTGTAGGTTTGTAATGATTTAATTGGTTTCAATTTGGATCACAAACTGACTTTAGTTAGAGAACCAGTGAAATCTGGGGAGTACTAGAGAGCTGTTTCCTTCTAGTTTGGAACTCTTCATAATTACACGCCTACGATTCGATGACGAGGATGGTAAAATCAGGACCTTCAAGTTAAGGCAGGATCCCGTTGACCATTTAGTTACTTGGGTGGAATCCAATAACTTATTAATTATAACTTCGACAATTTGAAATATATACTGCTGTCATTAGTTAGTGTTGACAGTGAGCATCTGTACTCACGCATGACTCCGCAGAACCTATTGGTCACGACTTTTCATCAGAACTTTAGGAACTCCTACGCGTAGTCCTCTACCAAATTAGTCCCAAGGAGCTTTCCAGTACTCTAAAGTTTTCAATAATTTTCTAACTGATGTCAATTAGTGATCTAAATCAAAAACAATCAAATCCCAGACCAAGGCTGTGATTTAGCACTAAACTGTGGCTTCGTGTTTAACAAGAAAAAACCGCCTTTTGTTATAGTTCAAAACATCATATTTTATTTTCACACTGTACTTTACTTTTAAAAAATTGATCAAATTAACTTATATTGAGTTAATGAATTTCACTTTTTAATTGATATAAACTATGCAGACATGAATAGCATTAATTTAAAAAATTGTATTTAGTAGTTAGTATGTTGTGTTTCAGTGAAATCAAGTAATCACGAAATGTTTGTCGGTTTTGTGAATTTGTATTTGAATATATTTATATCGTGTCTATATTTAACACACTATGCCTGATAATGATTTATTGAGAATTTAATCCAAAGATATGTGTCATTTTGTTATACACATTGTGAACTAAAATTATGTTTGTCTATCTAGGCTGAAAATTTCATGTTTATATCAGCTGGTCACTGGTGAGTAATTATAATCCGGTTGTCTAGGCTATAGTGCTAAGCCGAGTTCTGTCGGTCAGCGTGGTAATACAGTCATAAAGCTGGGAGAATTGTTGTTGCGGTCTACTTTTGATATCACTGAATGGATCAATGTATGGGTGTAGGAATACTGAACTCATTAAGAACCTCATCTAAATACTGAATTCCACAATTCTATCTCGCTGATTCCTTCTACTTCATTCATCCACGAAAACATGAGAAAACAAAGGTTGGCCTCTCACTGTAAAGATGAGTTTATTCGACAAGAATATTTTGTATACATATATTTCTAAAACGCAAATGTGATTGGCTTTATGAAACCGAAGATTGTTCAGTAGAATCATCATATCCACATACCAACATGAATCTAAATTTGAAACACAGAATCCGCTATATTATTAACTAATGGCTAAAAGAATTTCTTTTCCAGTTTTAGCCACTTCTTATAAACTGTAAAGCAATGATAGGGGGTAATCAGCATGAAGTACAGAGACTAACTTTCGTGGCTGGTCTCTGAGACAAACCTGCGATCACAACTGAACGAAAATCTCTGACAGTTGGACTAGGGAACGAGGGTTGGAATCTTTGAGGAGATATAAGTTTCATCGGGGTTTCAGACATGCTTTACTGACAGGAGTACCGATGAAGTGGACGCCTAGGACTAAGGCTTAGTGATGACTACCTCTCCCGCTAATTGTTTAATTGAATTTTAAACATGAAAGCGAAAACTCTTAAATGGAGAAAATTAAAGACTTTTATTCCATATGCATATTTTTCATTCTTTGCGTTCCGAATGGGACTTGGCGTTTCAAGCTTGAGACCTCAGTAGCAATGGTGTTGTTTTACCGGTATGGGATTAGAAACCTCATGCTAAGGCTCCCCTCTTCAATAGGTTTTCTACGGCCAGTAAACTAAACGAGGAGTAGGAATGTGTCAACCTGGTGCCGAACCCACAGTATATGTGTGGTTGGTGGACACTCTACCTCTGAACCAATGACTTTTTACCAAAAAATTCAACACAAAACTTCATTATTAGTGAATGATTGCTAGGAGAAGTATGCTTTTTAAATCTAAACTTTCGAAGTTACCTCCCGTGTTAACTGGTATAATATAGTGAGCGAGACTGAAACTAGGTGCAGGGTGTTAGAGACAGTTAGTCAATCCATGAAGTTGGGAAGCTACATCAGTGGCTACGGCACGTGTTACTCATGATGAGCCGCCACTACCCTTATCATCGTGAAATTCTAACTGATATAAGATTAGGTTAGAAAATAGTTATGCTAGGTCAAACCAAAATACGACACCATTCCAGGAAACATTTGATAGTTGATTTAAGCCAGTCATGTAGAGAAGTGTAAACTGCCTGGTTGGAGTCCTTGAAATGCAAAGAACTAATGGCTGAAGATTGTTGATGATGTGACTGAAAATCCATCTCAGTGATGTAGATATACTCATTCTTTGTAATCGCCCATTTCCACCAAACCGTAATGTTTTTCCATGCTACCATTCATTCTCCGGCACACTTCTGAATCTCTTTTGCCTACCTTTGAGTGTTACAGTGGTTGTTGCAACTTAAATTGCCGTACTTCTTTGCAGAGTTCTAGTATGGAAACTTAGCCGTCAGTCAGTCACCTTTAAAAAGGATAATCGAATTCGCAATTAGCAAATTAATTTGCAACTTACACCGTTTCTTTTGGAAAACAAGACTATTCAGATCACATTACGTGAACAGCTCCACACTATAAAAGGTAATCAGAGAAGCAATCATAATAGCATTGAAGACAGCTCAATACAATAAGTTAAAAAGGATAAATTCAACTAGCTATCGACGTAACTACTACCTCAGGTATATGTAAATTTGTACACACAGTTAGAGCTGACATAAGAAGGGTACATTGATGAATAGAACGAAGGGCGAACCTTCGATTAGCTGAAAATGTACCAAATAGCCTACGTCTCAAGGGAACAAACGCTCTCAATAGTGTCATTGATAGGCATCTCATCGGTACACGTCATGAGGTGGACACCATGATATCCTTTGAAATTATGAACAGATAATATAGTTAAACTCTTCTCAAGAAAGAAGTAGTTATCAGTCCTTCCTCACCCTAGTAAATATATGTCTTTACTCTCCCTTTTATTTAATTACGCAATCTTTGACTTTAGCCTTTTACGCGTCACTAAAATGCAGGTTTGCTTGTCTCTTGTTCCTACGATTTGAGCTGACCTAATCAAATCGTTGCGCAAGTATCTAGTTACTTATCACCATATCCACCTCCTGTATTTATTTCTTGTACTCCTTTCCAATGTATCCATGGGTTCTTTTTCGTTTAGACTAGACCTTTTGGTGCATTAGCTATTTGAGTGTAATTTTTGAGCATTATAAATTAAATTTGGAGCCTCAGCGTATGGCCAATCCATCTCCATTTCTTCCTGCCAATTTGTTGTACAACCGGTTCCTGGTTGGTTCGCTCCCAGAGATCTTTGTTGCTGATCTTTTCTGGCCATCTGATCTTGAGTATTGAGCGAAGACAACTGTTAATGAAGGTCTGAAGTTTGTTTGAGGTGCTCTGTATGACGCGCTGGCCAAGTCTCTGATCCGTATAGTAGCACTGACTTCAAGTTGGAGTTGAAAATCCGGATCTTATTTTTGAGGCTGAGTGCTGTTGACCTCCACACAGACTTAAGAGTAATGAAAGCCTGTCTTGCTTTTCCGATTCTGACTTTGATATCCTCGTCAGTTCCACCTGTAGTTGAAACGATGCTTCCCAGGTGGGTAGATCAAGGAGGTTGTTTCTTTCAGATTCCTCCCATTTATGCTGACTGTCGTCTGTTGTTGCTGTTGGTGTTGGCCAAGAATCTTCATCACCACTGTTTTATCTATGTTCAGTTGAAGTCCTATCTTTGATGCTTCTTCTGACAGCTTTTTGCGCGTGCCCTATAAATAAACTTAATTTCTTTAATTTGTGCGCGGCTAATGAGATGCCGACGAAACAGACAACAGTGTCATAGTACTCTGCACAAACCGTTGCTTTTGCTTTATTCATATTCATAAAGGAGAATAAGTGTATGATGTAACATCATATAATTTACATAGAATTCTGAGGAAAAATTCCTTATTTTATCCGCAGGACACATGGCAGATGGTTAACTGAATTATAAATAGACCTAAATTCAATGAGCTTTAAGTATATGACCGTACAAAACTGTTAACTTTTCAATAAGTAACCTCTAACTCTGGAGTTCCCATAGAACAATGGACACAAGTAATTCGGAGTGTTATGTTCATCATACTTGATCTGGGATGTTACACTCATATTTAAGACTATCGTTTTAACTAAACAATCCACACAATCTGAATATTAGTCTCTTTTGCATTATTGGTAAGAGACTCAATGTCCTGAAGTCGTAATGAGTTATTGTGTCTGTCGGGGTCCACCATTGTAGGTGTGCTTATCAGAAGTATTGTTTGATGGTAGCTCTATATCTTACCAACCGACAGAAGTTAGAATTCACGAGTCATTCGATGCCTACCCAGTGGGTGAATGGCCGACGGGTTTGCCTCGTAACCTGAAGAACCTGGGTTATATTTTTGGTCAGGTCGTGAGTGCTCGCTGAAGAAGAGTTCCGGATGTGGAAAAATGTCTGTTCAGTTCTCTCGATTTTCAATAATTCTCTAACTGATTTTGGTTTGTGATGGAATCTATATTAAAACAAAAGTTGAATCAATTGTTTCACCCAAACAAATATGAACTCCTCAGTTTAACCAACTTATTAAAATCTCTCAGTTAATATATACTAGGTCAGAAACTAAAAGATTAAGGTGTTGTAAAACAGTAAACGACGGAGAGACCAGTCATTTTGTCCACAAGAGCTTTGTAGGTATTGCTTGTGTTCATTCTCAAGTGTAAGGTGTCAATAATAAGGCCTTTTTTATCCTTGTAGACAACATTTTTAAGTCAACCTCAAAGGAAAACATCATCTACAAATACTTGTCGCTATTTTACAATTATAAAACTTTTGAATGATTTACTGACAATGTCGAACAGCCCCTAACCTTGAGATATAAACAGTGTGATAAGGATATAAAATTTTATTTAACTGTTTAGTCATTCCTAGTGACTTAGGATGTCTTATGAATCCTAGAAAACTAGATCCCTAATGTATTTCCATCTAATACGACTGTAAAAGCATGAAGTTTTCAAATAACGGTTATAAGAGACAGGTAGAAATGGGGGAAAATTTGACACGAGAAAATGATGCCGTTCAAATTATAAATGTAAACAGAAGAAAAGAGTCAGTGAATAATTTAACAGAATATATCCTGTCGTAAGTTAGATTTCATCACTGAATGATATCAGTTAGTGAACCACTGAAGACCAAGGAGTATAGAAAAAGCTGTTTTATCCTAGTCTGGGACCCTTCATCAGTAAGTACCATGACCTCAGTAGAAATCGAATCCACAAGCTTCGGGCTATAAGAAGATCACGTAGATCATTCAACTACTGAGAAGGAATTCAGCAGCTCAGGTATTCTTATTTCTGTCAATTTGTGAAATAAGGTACCACTGTTGGCCAATATTTGTTGTCACACTCTAATTGGTCGGTCCAAACAAATACGATTTCTTAGTAGAACTTGAGAAAGATCATCAGGTAGTTAAAACTAGTAGTTCTCAATACTGCCAACGGAGTAAAATGTAACAGTCAAAGGAAGACATACCGTTTGGCACTTCAAATTGGAGGTACTAATTTGAGTGTCTTGGAGATCGAATTCTCAATCTGGACTTCGATTTGCTCAATTCAGACAGACACAAATGGTTGCCGTCATTATGATTATACATGTAGTGTTTTAATTTGTTGGAATTCTCACGTATGAGATTTTATCAGAGGTTCTTGGAACGAGGTTTAGGATATTCGTGATCATCGATATGCCATCCGATTGCATCCTGCTGGACTTGAAAGAAAAATCACAAACTTTCCACGCATACCATAGAGACTAAATAATGAAGAACAAGATAAGTTTCAGAAACATGCAACCTACGATATACAAAAACGCTATAATGACACTAGCTCATGACCAACAAAAAGTTGAAAGGCATTTAAAACTCTTTCATTGTTTCCACAAAATCATGAAATATGGGACCTTAGCTACTTGAATATAACACCGACTTTCATCCAACTTCGATTCCTACCAAGTGGTTTGAAATTCTGCATAGTTTCCAGTAAAATCAATCATTTGAATGTGATTGCCAGAAGGGAGCTGTCTATGTGTATGGTTGATGAATATTTCGTTGAATAGTTAATGGATAAGTCAAACGAAATAAATGTATTTCCAAGTGTTGGTATGTAGAGATCTGATTGGTTTCAAGTTCACTCATGAATTGACATCAGTTAGGAAACCAATGCAAACCGGTGAGTATTCGTCTCTTCCTAGTTTGGGACTCTTCAGTAGTAGGCAGTCATGACTGCATTGGGACAGGATCAAGGACATTAAGGTTACAGGGCGAAGCCGTTGATCATTTAACTACCAGGAAGGGATCTAACAACCTATAAATTCTAACTTCTACTAATATGGACAGTGATCCGAAGACTTGCGTCAGGATTTTCCAAAGAATCTAGATATTCAAATATTCCTGAATTAGAGATTTTTTTAAAGAATCAATTCGCTGTTTTTGACTTTATATTATCGTTTACAATTTTTAGAGGGACAAATACCTGAAGCTGAATAGACGAATTGAACTGTCAAATGAACTGAACCTTACAGAGACTCAAATTAAAACATGGTTTCAAAATCGTCGGTAAGTGTAGATTAATATCGATAAGTGATAAAGATTATTATCCCAAAATGTTGTGCTTTTTACGAATAAAACTGAATTCTCGAAATTTTCATTATAATCAGATAACTTTTAGAAATGTCACGAACACTTAACTGCTGTTTTGTTTAAGAAAGCAAGCACAACTGCATAAAGATACATTTACTACTGATTGATATGATTAGCTGAGAACCACTCATGTCAGCAGGAAGTGTTCTAAGTACCGGACCGTTGTTTCGCTTGTTCATTGGCATACGCTAAATTAACCAACCTAGACATTCGAATAAGTAAAACTGACCGAAATCTAACTGGCTACGTAGACGAACTGGTAGTACAAGAAATCGAAGTCGCAATTTGAAAATTACTCATTTCGGAGTTAAAGTATCATCATAGTTTCATTTGGAAACGCGAAAATATTTCAAAAAAAATGTGTAATCAGGATGGTACCAGGAATGGTAGTGAAGAAAATAGGCACTAACTGCTATAAATTATCTCAAAGTGGGACAAAGCTACTACCCAATTAAGATTCATTATGAAACTTTATATACATTATCTCAATTCAGGAAATAGTTGTGGATTTCATTTATTTTCTTTTTTTCCTTCACGTTCCCAGTACAACATAGGGCCTCAAGCCAGTGGATTGACGTTTCTGTAGCAGTGTTTAATTTTACAGGACGAGGTTGCTAGCCTCATGCTCAACCTTTCCTCTTTACCAACTTTATTTCTACCTTAGCGAGGTGAAGGAGTGCGTCGGCCGGGGATCAAACCCCAGGCCATGTGCATGGTCGGCGAGCGTCCTAACCGCCATGCCACCGACGCACAAAACAACAACAGTAGGAGTGATCAAAAGACTTCAGTAACAAACTGACATGTTTTTTGAACAGAGCAGTGAATATATTCCATAAGTAGCAATATAACGTAGATTAAATTCGATCAGGAGACTAAATGGCGTAAGGATACTGCATTATTTTGAGTCCCTGAGTTCTGTTTTTCAATATGCAACGAACACTCTGTGATGGGAAAATTCACACTGTTTAGTAGTTTTCAGCTATATTTCAAATAAAATAATTCAGAACTCGAGTGAACTGAAGTGATTCGGATTTCTCATCTGTACCGATTCGGGCACACTGATGATGAGTTCAGCAGCACAGCAGAGAAACACCGGCTTGGTGTTTAAATCAGTTCAACATCGAAAGTACTAATGATCAATTTGGGTCATTTACAATCTTCCATATCAATCAGTGGTATGTACCAGCGTGCTATCTTGTATACCTTCTTGATTTCCGTTTTGTGGTATCAAGCATTATGATCTAAACACTTTTGATTTTCAAACGAAACCGTAGTGAATTCTCACGATAAACTGTGGAATTGAAAAATAATGAATATGAGCCTTGTAACCAGAAGGTCCTGCGTTCGAACCCCGGTGGGTGAGTCCCAAACTAGGACGAAACAGCTGTCCAGTACTCCCAGGTTTTCCAGTGGTTCTCTAACTGATGCCAGCTTATGATGAAATCCTCCATGCAATCAAACAAAATCCCTACAAAACCAGTACTTGATGAATATGATATAAGTCTGTGTTGTAAATCCTACTCCAACAAACCACTCATTTGACCTTCCCGCCTTTGCATTCATACTGATGAGTGATAAAATTTCATCCTAGGTACTGTAAATCATTATTATTACTATTCCTTTGGATTCTTAAAGGAATACTGGGTTTCAGCATCACGTCTCCACTTCATTCTATCCTTGGTAGTCATTTTAAGCAGGCTACGCAGTTGCTTCTAAGCTTTCATTTCCCCTTAACACGATCTCCTCCATGTTACCCTCGCACCCATGCCCAACTAGTCATTTCCTATTCCGTGTCGACTCCATGTCCTGCCACATATAAGTCATATAATTCAGGGAAAGCACTAATATTAGAAAAGAAATATTAAACATTGTATACACTGTACTAAAATGCATATTTATTCGAGGCTTGAAAGTTGAGCGCATGGTCAAATTAATTTTCTAATCAGATATAATTGGGTAAGCATAAAAGCAGTCACACAGTATTTTCGCTGACAGAATAGTCAATACCACAAGAGATATTCCAGTTGTGTAAAAAAAGTCGATAAAATACTGTTAAACCAACTAAACAGAACATCTGATATGATTTCAGCATTCGTCTAAGGACGTAAAACAAAATCACATGAGACAATGCATAACACCTGAAGAAATTCAAAGCATAATTGATCGCCTTTGTCCTACTCATTCATCAAGTAGGCGGGAACGAAAGGGAGGTAAACTTGTATTTGGCGATAACTTATATACTCATCCAATATAATTAATAAATAATAAAAACATCCAAATCATTCCATTACCGTTTACTAAAACAAAAACATTTTACTGTATAGAATTTTAAATCCGTTCAAATGAACTGATCACAAGCGTGGTAAGCGGCACTTTATTATTATAATTACTTTTACATCTAATTTATTATAAACAGTGCACTCATACAGCACATTTGTGACTGTCATATGATACGGAAAAATAAAGCTTTGTGTGAGTAATTAATCGATTTTATAAAATTTTAAGAAATTAAATCACCACATGACTCAGTCGATCAATCAGACACAACATACATGCAATTTAAGACCAAATGTAGTGTTAAGCCTTTGTAATACAAGGAATTCAAAATCATCATTGAATTCACACTTAAAAAGTATTGGAATTTGGAGTGTAAAAATACCCGTACATATGTGGAAAATCATCAGAAATGTTTAGATGGCTGAACTAAAAGAGAATAAAATATAAAAAAGTGAAATTAGGAGTTTACGATGTCTAAAAGTCATCGTAGGCACTATTTTCAAAGAAAATCTAATCAAAAAAATATTTAAAGATCCAGGAGTAATAAAACTCCCAGAATGGTGGTATATTACTACTGATTGATTGATATGAGAAGTTGGATACCATTCATATGAACTAGTAGTGCTTGCTAGCCAAGTCAAAGTGAACTAAACACTAGACTGCTGTTTCACTCATTTGTGGCTGAATATTCCCAACTTAAACTGCAAAAATATTCGAGATTATGAACTGTGTTAAATATTAGTTGACAGTCGATAGGAAACTATAAATTTGCGTTTTGTACTTACTGATACACTTATATTGCCTATAAGTGGACGTATTACGTTGCATTATCTGCACAGATGGTGCGTCGGTGGCACAGCGGTCAGGACGCTCACCGACCACGCACATGGTCCGGGGTTCGATCCCCGGCTGACGTACTCCCTTACCTCGCTAAGCCAGAAATAATCCTGGTAAAGAGGAAAGGTTGGACATGAGGAAAGAAACCACATCCTGTGAAAAATAAACATTGGTACAGAAACGTCAAGCCACTAGCTTGTTCCACTAAGAACGTGAAGGGAAAAAAATCTCCACAGATGAAATATGCATTGAAAGTACTCAAAATTCTTAAAAAAAAAGAGAATCGGAATATTAACACTATTCATTAGTGGTTTCTGCGCAGATGTTCTAAAGAGGATTTGTGGCCCTTTAGGGGCCATCATGTCGGGATGAAGTGGGTACATATCGATGGTATTGGTTAGCTGTAGAGCTATAACACGAATTAACAAAAATAGAAATTCAACGATCACTAAGTTCCAAACAAGTGTCTGCCTGGCCATAGCGCTGGCCTTGTAATTTGATGGTCTTGAGCTGAAAACCATGATGAGCTCGTTGGAGAGCTTTACTGAGGAGTCCGACTCTAGGAAAAAACTGCTGTCCAGTTCTCCTCAGTTCCTAATGATTCTTCAATTAATGTCTGTTCGTGACTAAATCTACGCTAAAAATAATAATAATAACTCCTGAGTTATCAAATAGTTTCAGGATTCACGGTACTCTGTCGGATTACTTCAATGTGTAATGAACGCTATAATGATATAATTATGGGCAATAAATTGTGCTTGAAATATCATCCTTTTATTAATACTATATCACTGTATTATATCGAATAAACTTTAATGTGGAGCCAGTCTGACTTGAGTCATTTAAGTCCAAAGGAGTGGTCGCCCTAAAGTATGACAGTACTAGCTTAACCTCTAAGGGGTTCATCAGTCCGCATAACTGAAGTGTTCTCACTCCGATGAGACCGCATGTCAGTCATTACGTAGGTTTCAGCAGTCATCTAGATGATATCAATTAATTATGAACCTTATTATTGTCATTATTCCTGAGGATTCGGAGTAGAACATAGAGCTTCAGCAGCACATCACTATTTTAATCTCTTCTCTGCAGTCCTTTTTACCTGGCTTCACGATTGCGCTTAAGCTTTCATCTCCTCTTCACACGATCTCCAACATGTTACCCTCAGAGACTCAGTTTGTCGTTTTCCACTGGAGTTCCACCTGAGGGTCCGAAGCATGATGTCCTCGTATCGTGTATACAATCCATCTCTGTTTCCTTTCACATTTTTGTGAGGCGATAAGTTCCCTATTAGCTTGTTGCTACAGTTGCCTGTTGCTTATCTTTCCTGGTCGGCCATCTGGTTTTCTGTATGCAGCAAAGTTGGCGGCCATTGATAAAAGTCGCCACATGTAGTAATCCTTTTCTAAATATCTATAAACTTAACAAAATATATTTGGTTAATTACCGCTTATTTCACTTTAGTTTGATCGATCATTAAAACTTAAACTTATGTTAATAAATTTAAATTTACTGGAGAAATATTTTATAACTTAACTTTACCATTTTTATTATTTACACACTTATCTCGAAATTCCGATTTGACTAATGGTGATCACACCAATCCACTGAAGTGAAAATAGTGAAAAACATCTCGCCAGTCCCCGAATCCTGACCCATCTAAATCAATCCACATGCTAGAACGGTGGTGGTTCATAGCCAGGTAGGTGGAAAATCTCTCCCGAACAACAGTTTAATTGATAATGAGACTATTTGAGATAGCTATGAGTCTGTAGATTGACATCTACGCAATGGTAACACAACAATCTGCGTCATAGATGGTCCAGAAATAGCAACTTCTGAATTACTAGAATTGCCCTCTACCAGCCAACAAAGACTTAGCTAGGACAGCTAATACGATGATCAACGGACAGTTACGAATCGAACATTCACAAATCGGCGAGACATTGAAATAATGAGAGGGGATAAACAGTTTAATCTAGTGGCTCGGTTGATAAAGAGCAAGACTAGTAGTGCAAAAGCCAGTGGATCACCTTATCTTCAATCCTCAACGCATTACAATAATGTAAAGTATATAATTATTGAAATTGTTGTTTATGTCCACTCTCACTCTTATTCTCCTTTTCTTACTAGAACAAAGTGGAAAAAGAAGTTTTCATTGGATTCTGTAAGTCGTTGTTCAATGAATGGGAGTACTTTCTGGTCAACATCTACGGCATATACTGGAAGTATTGAGGAACAACAGTTTACAATGAAGAATTCTTGTGCAAATTTCTTAACTACACAGATTATTAGTGATACTGTTAATTCTGATGATCGGGTAACTAGTAGTTATACTAATCCTCAGTTAGAAGTTGACTTATCATCCTTATGCACAACTAATCCAAGTGTATGGTAATTATAATCCCTTTTTTTCTTCAGAGTTAATAAAAAGAAGTTATTATTGTTTTATCAATTATCATGTTATCAAATATTTCAAAAATTGTACTTAGGATGTTTTGGAAGGGTTTTCTAAGTGAATAGATTTTCTCTGACTTAATAGCAAACAGCTCGAATGAGAAACAATGATTTTGGCCTGGATTTCACGGTGAAATGAAGAAGATCACATGAAGAGAAAATAAAAGCTTATGGACAATCTTGAAACTAGCTTGAAAGGACTACCGGGAACAGAATGAGATGGTGATGTGCTGTTGAAACCCTACGTTCCGCTCAAAACCCAAGAGAATAATAATAATATTATAATATTTTCTTTTAACTCAGTTATGAGCGACAGAACATTCTAGTACCAGGCTATGAGAAAAACTTATTGTGTGAGGGCCGATGATCTGTCTGTCTGTTTTCGACATAGAACTTTGCACCGATGTGCAGCACTTCAAGTCGCCACACTCCATGTAGCACACAAAGCAAGAGAAGAAATGCATATTAAAGACAATAAACAGGTGTGAGAAAAAGGAATAGTAATAACGAAGAACAATATAGTTTCATTGGAAATCATAAGTCACAGGGAGTGGATGTATCTGCGCCATTGAGAACGATTTTGAGTCATATCACCAATTGTTTTCAGCCATCTGGTGTTTACCGTCCCGAGGACCCCAACTAGGAAGTCTACATCTTCCTACGTGGCTTAATGTAACTGTTGTAGATTTCATTGACTGATGAGGCCATGTTTTGGTTTGACCACCACTGGATCTTTTCCAGCCTGACCCTATGTCAACTAGCACTACCCTTCGATGAAGGCGATGACTAGGCATACGTAACACATGTCCTAACCATCTCAGTCGATGTAGCTTCGCAGCCTCGTCTATTGATTTCTGCTCCTTACCTAGCACTCGACGCCTAACCTCAATATTTCTCACCTTATTATACCACTTCACACGGAAGATAGAGCGCAGGTACCTATGATCAAAGACAGCTAATATTTTCATGTCTTCCGATGATACTACCCAGTTGTTCAGGCTGAAAGTAAGGAGTGAACCAATGATCCGTCGGTTAAAATCTACCAACTTTTCAGATCAAGTTACTTAAAAAGGGAGGAAAAGAAAGCTTTCATATCATTAGAAGGAGGGGCACTCACAGTGTTACCTTATAAGGAGAAAATATATGAAACCTATTTAGGTTAAATGACCCTCTGGACCCAATTAGACAAAATAATTTAGCCTTGCAATGGCTGCGATTTCAAATACACAGTTTAATGCAGTTAGGTTATCGGAACATAAGAATTTAGCTAAGTGAAACATGAATGACCCCGGGAAAATGACTAGTCTAGAGGAAAATTCAGAGATTGCAACGCGTGCAATGAAATAATATGATGGGACAGAAATACAGTTCTAAAATTAAAATAATTAGATGCAAAGAGAAGTTGATCATAGGATTTTTAATCATCGAAGTTACACCTAACAGGTGTTACAGGAATGACGCAGAGCCGATAATAGGGATTTAGAAAGTTTTACTATCAATAAAGTCAAGGGATAAAAAATAATGGAAGCGCCTAAATGAAGTTGACAGTTTATGTGAATGTGATTATATGATGATCATGAACAACACATTGTGCTCGAAACGCCATCATTAAATGATACTATATCACTGTAAGTTCTTATCGAACAACAGTACCCCACATTCTGTAACTCTGGACAATAGCGACCTAAACGATCGACCCAAGTGAACGGATGCGAGACCCTGACCAACCAATCAGATGAGCCCGTACTAAAAACGTGGAAACATATATGCAGTACACAAATTACATCGCAAGTTCCATCAACAGGTAGTTTTTGAATACTGTCGAGGTAATAAGCTTATAGATGGGGAGTAGTAGTTACTTTACAGAGGTATGCAGCCGCTGCTGAGGGATACATTTGCAGATATCTAGACAGTTGTTACAGAAAATCTCTCCGAGAAGATGTCTTTTTTAGGTTCATGGGTGCTGTAGAACAGTGAATGCGCCACGGAACAGCATGATATGCGATTACCTCGCTGAATTTATATACAAAACTAGATTCGGATCGTCGCTGCAGACTCCATTAAGGAAGGTTTTCTTGGGACACATACGAAAAAGTTATCCCGTATAAGTATTTTCTATCGCTGACTTTCGTGACCATAAAAGAGATTTTAAATTACGCGTATTTACTACGGGTTCATCTGATCCGTTTACTTGGGTCCTTAGTTTGGGTCGCTATTCTTAAATCATCTCATCGGTTTGGTGAGCTACCAACCCATTAATGCACAGAAGGGTTGAGTTCAGAACACTGCAGAAAGCAACCTACATAGAAGTTGATTCTATTTTACAGTCCAGTGCCAGACAACAGGAGAAGACGTTTATTAATATAAGAGTAGGAGATTTGTGCTCTGTGGGAAGACACATTTTCACACAATTTTGTTTGGTAAATGTAACATACTTTAAAACAACATTATTTGCTGGGTAGCACTCTGATCACAATTTTTATCATGGTATGACTGTGTACCAAAGAAATTATAAATTGAGATCATCTAAGGTTGACAAATCCTTCTCTCATGTTACCTCCAGGAGCATGTATCAATTCACATACACATGTCAGGGGACATACATCTAATGAAGAGAAAGAAGGATTCGTTACAACAAGTTGGAGCACATTCTAGGAGATTTGCGACTGAAACGCGCAAAAGTTATGAGCAGTACAATCTCTTGTCATCAAGTAGAAGTCTTCATTTTAAAATCATCTGTGGTAATTAAAGTATAAGTTAATCGTAGCCTATTATATATCACCATAGCCGTAGAGGTTAAGTGTATAACACTCAACTTCTACATTCAATCTTTCGTTACCAAAGTGAGAACATTTCTATTCCCTACTTTTGTTGCTTCAGTTAATTTCGACGTTGTCACATTATACTTCCTAATTTCTCTTGTTTTGATCCGTACTTTTGATCTGAATATTTGAAGTCTGCTCAGTTTACTCTCATTTAATCATTTAGAATAATTAAAACTTGTAAATAATTTACGTAACATATGTTGAACACCTAAATGATTTCGACCTCCGTTCCTGACTCTATATAGCCTTTCTATGTACACCTGTACTTCTTTCCTTTCTATTCCTCTTGCATTCAGTCTCATAGCATTATTGATTACCATCGTTTAACTATTTAAACTGGGTATGAGAAAATTTTGTGTAGTGATATTGTAACTGCATCAGGTTGTATGCAGTTGAAAAGATGTAAGGAGATAAAACGATGTCATCTTATCTTGAAGAATTTTTATTCTTACTTAGTTTAAGATTATCAAAAAAGATTAAGTCGGGAACGGCATTCAAAAAACAAAACTGTTCCACTATATGAGAGCATCAAGCCAATTGTCTCACACAGAAAACAAGGTGAATTTCATCAAGAAATAATATTAGTTGGAGAAACACTGCGAAACCAAAAGGCAAAATATTATCTCCTTCCAGTTTAGAAATATTCAAGTGACTGAATCCAAACGACGCTCTCGCTTCCCAAAATGACATTCCTGAGGCTGGTCACTGATGTAGTAGTCGTTGTACGCTGCTGGAGAGTTCCAAATTAGGACAAAACTGCTCAATCAAATTCCCACAAATTCAACATCTATAATTTTAATCCAATGGTCATTTAGGCCGAGTACAGCTGATTTTGTTTCCCCAAGTAATATTGCAAATTAAATTTCAATTTGAATATTCAAAAGTCAGAAAATCAATACTTTATGCATTCCGATCCTCCTCCATTTTAATGTAATCTACTACTGTTTCTTGAGTTGAACAAACCAATGTAAAATCTTTGGCTTTGATCTCAAACAAAAATGAGTTATTTATATAATTGACCACATTTTTGTATCTTTCAAGTATTGGTTTTGTAGGGATTTTGTTTGATTGGTTGGAGGATTTCCCCATGAGCTGACATCAGTTAGAGGACCATTGGAAACCTTACACGAAAACGCAGAGGAGTTAATTGCCTCTCCCTTTAGACTAACAGAAAACATTATACATACAACCTCCTTACACACCTTATAAATGAATGACTCGACGGTGTGTGTGTTGTATGGGTGCCCACTAGTAAGAAGCTGCCAAAAATTGAAAGCAACATTTTAAGTCAATCCCTCAAATCGGGATTCGTGTTACTCTTTGTGGTCTTGAAATGGTCCCATTGGAGAACTTTTCTTCTCTTTGTTTAACCTCAGGCCAATCAGAACAGTTTGTTGTCCGCTGACCTAGACGGAGTTTAATGTAGTTTAAAATGTGTAAATACGATGCGTTTTTCCTTAATAAGTATAGTTCGTTCCCGATTCTCTGTTGCTACATAGATACCATACATAATTCTACACTGCTAAAACTTCCTTTGATTTTTCGATGTACCAAAAGCTGAATACCATATGAACTTATTCCAATGTAGATTTCATAACAAACCGACATCAGTTGTTGAATCATTCTATATATATATATATACTCACTGTTTTCATTAATCGATTTGTATATCGGATTTTAAAATGTTACAATCACATGACCTAGTGCTTAAAACAAAATAATAAATGTAACATACATAATGTAGAATTGTTAAAATTAAAAAAAAACATTAAGTTTCAAAAATTGTTTATTTTATGTATTCCACATAAAATGAATCAATCATATTTTGTAACAACTAAGAAGTACATTTTGGTATCACGAAATTATTGATTAAGAAAATTATAATTGTCATTGTTACTTATCAGGGAAACTATGTGTGAACAGTTAGAACGCTTAAGGACTGGTATAAGAATACAGTGGAAAATATTGACTATTGTGTTTCATGGAATTATTTAAGGACAGAAAAATAATGCACACTAGTGACTGACTACAGGATAACGTTGTTTGGAGTTCTAGTGAGTAGTCGTAACCAGTGGCGTAAATCAAGTTAGGTATGAACACCGATGACATGTTCTGGTGGTGGTTGCTCTACACATCAGGAATCAGCAGATACCAGAAGTAGTCATTAGATTCAGCGCCAATGGCGGAATGGTCAGTGGGCTTACCTCGTAACTTGAAAGTTCTTAGTTTGGCCCCTGGAGGGATGATAGGTGCATGCTGATGAAGAGTTCCTAACTAGAGCGAGAAAGTTTTCTAGTACTCTCTAACTGAGTTCAGTACATGCTTCAGCTGACGAAAGTTAGACAATAACAGAATTCAGACTACTGACATCCAGATGACCGATCCAGCAGTACCCCCCCCCAACACTGTTGAACTAGATGACTTATTGATTTGCTAATCAAGTTTCAAAGTTACTTCAGTTATACAGGCATAGTGTTATTCAAACGAGTTAAAATAAAAGCTCAAGCTAATCAGTTTTTTCATATAAGCCCAATTATTTTACACACTTGTGACGCTTTTTGTATTTCCTACTTGTGTTGAATGCTGAACTGTCATTGGATGCAAACTTGCATAACCCAATAGAGAATTATTTGTTTGTTAAGATTGTTTAAAACCGATATATTCGGAATCACAGTCAATGCTTTGACTGTTGTCTAAAACAGCGAAGCTCTCTTGTCAGCAATTCGTCTTTTCTCTACTTTTCGTATGCCAATGGTATTGTTACAGTTGTAGTTTCCGTTGCGATTGGCGTTTAGAGCAGTTTCATTAACGCATTAAATTAGCATAGCTCACAGTCTATACTACACTGCATTACCAGTCATAACACTAGCGATTTCAGAGAAGGCCATCAAAAGACATTATCAATGGGGTCATTGCGGAGCAACTTATGCATCGCTTAGTCATGATTATTGTCACTAACGAACACTACCAAGCGATATGCATCAATTTAGAGATTACTAGTATCAATGAGCTGTTAACAATTGCATTCTAAATTTGTTGGTTGATTTCAACAACTTTTAGAACAAATACTGGAAGAATCCATGGAGCAATGGATTTCAGTACAGTGACTAAAAATAGTAACGTGGTTACCTTGTAACCTGTAAGTCCAGGACATGATCCTTGGTGGGGTTGCAGATGCATCCTGTTGAAGAGTCTCAAAAGGAGAAGTAGTTGTTCAGTACTCTCTTAGTGGTTCAAGTTCTAGACGATATCTAACTTGAAATCAATCAAATCCCTACAAACCAACACTGGAACTTTTCCTTAACCTTTGATCGTTTCAATCGTAAGGGAGAGCCAAGTACAACAATAGGAGAAATGATTAACATTGTAATAAAGGTTTTGAAGGAATAATGCAATACTAGTCTCGATAAGGATATTTCAGTTCGGTGACCACCAATCTCGCTACTACTCTCTTTATACTTTGTACAGAAATTCTTGAAGCTTTTCTCCACTCATAAAGCTGTTCAAAGAACCAATATAATCATATAATAATCAAACCACAAAGTGGCTCATTGCTAGATGAATGGAAGTCATACAAAAGCGAGTTAATACTTTTCGTACAGCATGGGCACATATAAATTGATATTACATAAGCTGCAGGTATTTGACAGCTTTAAGCTTTGTTACTTTGATGTGACCCAGTGAATTAATAAGTACAGGTATAAGGATACTGTACAAAATAGGCGTCCTCCAGCTCTGTAAAACAGGATTTTGACAAGACTCTTTACACCTTCGTGAATTCACTCATCCTACACGTACCTGGATTCCCACATTCCGACAACCTGACTACCCCCTGTTTACTGGCCTCACTTACGAAGATGATCTCACTGTGAGGTAGGAAAACAGACTCCACGACAATGATTAGTTTGGAGATTGTAATGCATGAATTAGCACACAATCGGATGCGAAAGAGCTAGAATTCTAAAAAGTTCAGGTTCACCTTAAATTAGACAGGAAACTCTACTAGAAGTCACGGTAGGTATAAATGAATCATTCTTTTTAGATTCATGTGCAATCTTTTACTAAGTTTAATATGATTAGCGTTCGATAGACTCTGTGATGTGAGGATAACAGATAATTCATTTGCCTTATGTTAAATCACTAAATAAAGGTTTTGGTAAAAACAAATCTACACATAATCACCTGCTGAACAACTCCTGACTGTATTAAACACAATGTGAACTATTGTCCCTGGCGTTTGTGTCCAAGGTTTAATTCCCGACCCACTTTATTTAGCCTGGGTAGTGTGGTTGTGTCACACAATAAAAGCGTGGCTTATAGTTCGGTGTCGTAGGGGGTTAATAAGTTCTAACTAATTAACTAAAATGATCTCTTCAACTTATAATCACAATACATTGCACAGCTTTAATAACCTGTGTAAATTCTAACGAAACTAGTAATGTACACGTATCAAAGTGGTCTAAACACAATTTGAACTCAATTAGTCCGAAAAAGACTATTAATATAATTATTCACCTTTCGCATTCCGAGTGAAACATGGGGATTCAGTGACACATTCCCATTGTCATGAGTTTGATTTGACTCCAAAACTAACCACAAGTTTTTATTTGAACCACACACAATGTGTGAGGGCTGACAATACTGCTGCTACTACACAGTTGTGTAGGCCGAAATAGGTGGAGAGTGGCTCAAAACCCAGGACACATTGACTGTAGGTCGTGATGCTTAAGCCAACCAACCACTTCTCCACTAAACAACATGAACAGATGCTACACAACGGTGATCTGGGCTCAAATGTAACTTTGGTAAACGCATACATGTACAATCATTCACGTCAGAGATACAACAGTCGAAAACTTCACGAAACTGAAGAATATTGATATATTTTGTGGTTTTTTTATTAATATTCCTTTCAACAAGGAACTTTTATTTAGTTTACTACAAGAAAAAAAAACGTGTCAGCACCGCAAAAAACTGCACAGAGAGTTGTCAAGCGGTGACTTAGTGCTTACATACTCGCCAACAATGCGAACACGTGGTCTGGGTTCGATTCCCAGAAGCCGAAGCGTTCTTAACCGGTGAGTAAGCCCCAGTAAAGGGTGAAGGTTGAGTGTGAGGCTGGCGATAGCACTCCGTAAGAACCAAATAGCACAGGGCCTCCGGTGATAATCATAGGGAGATTAGCTTGACTAGTATGACATCTGAAGTTCTAGGCTCATTAATCATGAGTAGACTAAGTGGTCCACGGCAGGAACAAACACGAGAGAACCAGGTAGGTTTTAGGGCAGGAAGATGGTGTATTGATCATATCTTCACCCTTCGACAGATTCTGGAACATATGCATACTCACCACCGGCGTCCAACAATCGTCATATTTCTTGACCTAAAGGCGGTATTCGATTCTGTCGACCGAGAGGTACTATGGCGACGTTTGGCTGTGAAGGGAATGCAGAGAAAATACATTGCACTGATCAAGGAACTCACTCTACTCGAACTCATGCAGTCAACCAGCTGAAAGCCTACGGAGAGTTGTCATCTGAATTTGTGACAACTAGTGTTGTCCATCAAGGATGCCCACTATCCCCATTTCTATTCAATTTCATCATAGATGCACTAATGGACTTAACCCTAACCGACTTCAGTTACGCAGACTGACTTGTTATCATCAGGGAATAGTCTCGTTGACTTAGAATATGCAGATGATATAGTCCTTCTTGGTGATGAAGACGCTGGCGAAATAGGGCAGTCTTATGAACAACTTCAGATGAAATCTACGAATGTTTGACATGTGATTCGCTCCCAACAAATGTAAGATGATGTTACAGGATTGGACTACACTGACTCCTAGCTTAGAAAGAGGGAGTGAAGTGGGAGAGCATGTCGACCGATTCACCTATTTGGGAAGTTGCATCAGACAGTGTCAACGGTTTGATAGCTGACGAAATCTCAGCACGGATACAGAGGGCTAGTTTCTTACATGACAGTTTACGCCGTCTCTGGCGTAGACGTGATATTCGACTGACTGTTAACCAAAGAGCGTGTATAGTACTCAACAGGTTGCCCCGTCCTATTTTATGGTTGGCTGTGAGACGTGGCCATTGGAAGTGGAAAATATTAAAAGGCCGGCTAGCTGTCTTTGATCATAGGTGTCTGCGTTCTATTTCCAGTGTGAAATGGTATAACAGGGTGAGCAACATTGAGGTTAGGCGTCGAGTGCTAGGTAAGGAGGGGAAATCTGTCGACGAGGCTGTGAAGCTAAATCGATTGAGATGGCTAGGACAAGTGTTGCGCATGCCTAGTCATCCATCGTCTTCTTCAGCAGCGGGCAATGTTAGCTGAAATACGATAGATCACGTTGGAAAAGAGCTAGTGGTGGTCAAGTGAAAACATAGCATCAGTCAATGAAATCAAAAACAGTTAGTTTACGTCAACCACATCGGGAGGTGTAGACTTCCTGGTTGGGGTCCTCGGCCTGGTAAGAACCAATGACGACTGGGTACAATTGCTGACATGGCTCAAAATTGTTCTCAAAGGCGCAGATGCATTAACTCTTTGTGATTTGCCATTGTGTGTTACATGGAATGTGGTAACTCGAACTGCTGCACATCTGTGCAAAGTTCTACGTTGAAACCAGTCAGTCAGTCACTGTTACTGGTAATACTTCAAAGCTCAAAGTTTGGAGCGCGACGTTCCAGGCGGAAGGCAAGGGAATGAAAACAATAATCAATTTACAGAAAAAATAAATAACATGAGGACAGTGAAACACAAAATAAGAAACTGTTGAAAGCAAAAATACTGATACAGAAAAAGGAATTACTCTATTGAACATATTTACACAAAGAAAACTAAACTTAAAAAATAATTCAATTTAGCAAGCAGGAATAAGAAACACGTTTTGGAAAGTAAAACGATAAAATAACCTATTTATGTATAATTACAAAGTAAGCACATGGTAATGCAGTGTTATGTTTTACTAAAGGGAAGTTCAGTAATTTACTCGAATTGAAAAGTCATTAGGGATTGCAACTGACCGACGAGCACTTGTATTTCGAATTGACTGTGGTGTCTTCTTAGGAATATTGATACTTTCAGAGAAGGCTTCAGAACCCCAAAGCTCTATAAATAAAGACAGTTGATCAAAGTAAAAGTTAAACGACATGAAGAAGTTAAGGGAATCTGAATAGATATTTACAATAAAATGTATTGCCATGTTTGATGCGTTATATAAAACAGAGTATTTTGGGCTTAGTCTTGGTTTAAGCGCTCGGATTTCAACTAGTGGGTGAGAGGTTCGAATCCTACACCCTTTACTTCAGCGAGTGACTTGATAGTATTATCAGTCCTTACACAACAAGTGTGGCTCATTACTCGGATCACTGAGGATTTGTCCCGAGAAATGGGTTCAAATAAAGGTTTAAATTTTGAACCTAAGCATCAATAGTACGAGCTTAAAACTTCAACATTGTAGTCTAGGAGAACACAGCTGAACGATTCCGCTAGATGAATGTCAGTCAATGGCAAACACTTCAAAAAAGCTTAGCTTACTATTTGGTCAATATATCATAGTAGGACTCGTTCCCCGAACTGGACAATTTGAGGGCATCATCCTACTAAAAAATATACCTGCTGGAGTCAATTCAAGGTAAGAGAAAAAAGATTCGAATCTGGGACTCATCAATTGAAAGCCCTAAAGACAATGGAGCCACATTTTCACCATAAACAGAACAGGAAAAGGCGATGGAGGGTTGTTAAAAACAATCAACAAGACATATATCTACTCTCTAGAAGAAATCTATATTCCCCTCGAACTAAAATTACCCAGTTCCACAGTCAGACTTTAAAACAAAGCCCGCTTAAGTTACTACTGACCTTCTATGAGACTGTATTATGTTAAAGGATTTATCTTCGAATGAAATCTATCCAACTGTGGGTGCTATGTAGTCACTGATTAACACAAAACTCCTGGACATTGTAGTTCGGTGTTAAATGTTAAAAAATTGGCTTATTTGTTGAAAGTGTATCAAGTTATCCACCTATTAAGTACGCATGTATGATGGTTCAATTAGAAGTTGAATAAAAAACATAACGGTGAATATGACATCAAAACATGTTGAAAGTTGTGAGGAGAAATAATATCACTTCCAACAATTAAGAGGTAAGATAACAGAGAGCTTACTATGAACACTGACAACGCTATAGTTTAATATTAACTAGACTCAGTAGATCATTGTATTCACCCTTCTATTTTTTCTTTCAGCTTCGTAAAGATTATTGTGTACAGAATGATAATGTGGTTCTTCTAGAAAGAGGCGGAAAGTTCTCCTCATGCAGTAGACCAAGTCATGCTTAATATATTAGGAACGTGGAGATGTGGAGCTCTGGTTTAGGCGCGAGACTTTCAGCCACTGGTTCCCACGTTCGAGTGCGGCTCCATCTACTCCAGTCTGGGTAATTGGGTAGTATCTTAAGCCCCTCACAACAACAAGTGTGGCTTATGGCCCAGTACTGGGTAAGTGAGATCTAACTAACTTAGTAGTCGCAGTGAGAATGCAGGTACACCTAGCTGAAGAGTCACTAATCAGATGAAACACGTATCCTGTATCCCATTACTAGCCACTATCAATCAAATGATACCATGTTAACTCGAACAAATAACAACTGATAACGGTTGCAAAAGAGATGACTCTCGTCACCTAATGCATAAACGCTTTGGCATTTTAGGCGATAGGGTGCTGGGTCTTAATCTCAGTGGGGACATTACCACTCCGTGAATAAGTCAGTAGGCCTGGCTGACGAGTCCTAAATAGGACAAAACGCGTAACTGAAACTTTCGTGCTAGTCACCATCAATCGAATGTGACACAGAAAATTTAAAGTAGATCAAAGTGACGAGAGACACTACTTTCATATGGAGGGTACATATAATGTATTGTAAAAACTGTAGCAACATTAAAAGTTGAAAACAATGAAAGTAAATAAATACCTTGTTCTTGTATATGACTTTTCAAAGACGCGAACCAAGAAGCAATTTCTTTCTCATCATATTCACAACATACAGAAGCAGTGGAATCATACGACTGGAAAGAATCATTATCAAGCATTTTTGTTACCGTGAATTCATAAACTTCAGTGGAAAGATTATGTTGGTCTATTGGTGATAAATTACTTTTATCAGTTGAACGTTTTTCACTTAGGGGACAAGTAGCAATTCGAAATGTCAGTAACTGAGATGAAAATACTTGTAGTTTATTTAAATAAGGCATTCTTTTATCTTTGACAATATCATTTGTCAAAATTTGTGAGCTAGCCAAAGACGATTGTGGTGATATTAGCCGGAGTTTTCTAAATTCAGTAAAGTCAAGTGAGCTACTAATGTTAGCATTACAAGTAGACTTTTCATTAGGAAAAAGTCTACGGACAGGTTCTACGGAACGTGAGATTCGATTCATCCGCTTTCTTGAATCAACAGGACTAAGTAATCGTTTTTGATATTGATTGTTAACTGGAGATGATGAATGTCTTGATGAAGATTCACTTTTAACCGTATTCCAAGTTAGGCCATCTGTTGACTTTGTTATCGGTCGACTAGATAACTGTTTCGGTGTATCACTGGACTTTAGTTTGAAGGCAGTTTTATTGTGTGGTTTTTCAAACTGCTCATTTTTCGATGGAGTCCAAAGATTATCAACAGACTGAGAGGTTAATAATCTTGTCTTGCATGCAGAGAAAAACGATTGTGTGTATAAAGAATCATCTAATTGGGAAGTATCAGATAAACATAGTATGTTCACTGTTGACGATGCGCGTTTTCTTTCCTCCAGAGATGAGTTATGGTTTACACATGGATGAAGGTGATTTGACTGTGATCCATTGGTCAGTGAAGATGCAGAACACTTATTCGATGTATTGAAATCGTCTTTGGAAGTATTCGTCGATTCACCGATCTCTTCAGATCTAGCTAAATCAATTTGCCGTAGAATCGGTTGGGAGTCAAGAAAACGTGTTTTCTGACAAAAGTAAAAATGAAAGAGGTGAGGGAAATATGCAATTGTTAACGACAATCCAATAAACCAATGAAAAGAAATTATTAAATGAAGCAAGAGTCGAAATCTAATCCATCATCTGCAAATTACATACATTTCGAGGTGAAATTTTTCTACAGTGCCTTTGGAAACCGAAATTATGTAGATCACAGTTTTTGATTTGCTTGGTACCATAAATGATAACCAACAGAACAAACAAAACCGAACGGTGGTATATATTACTGATTAATATGAGTAATAGAAGACAGTTCACATCAAGCAGTAGTGCTTGCTAGTTAGTTTGAAGTGATCCAAACACCGGATAGCTATTTTGTATGTTCGAGATCAAGTTCATTAGCTGTGCACTTGGATTAACTCAACTTACAGAGACGCATCTGTTCGGTTTAATTCAGATCTCTCAGCTAAGTGATATCCAAATACTCATATCGTAAGAGTCCCTTTTAGACTAGAGCCAATAACATATACAATCACTTCTGTGGAGCCCTGTAACAGAGCTACCAGTTAGTAATGTTTGAGTATTATTGCAGAGGTTCCCTCTATGTACTTATTCCTCCAAATTTATGAGTAATTTCTATACAAGTCAGACCAACATGATTGTGAGTTGAATATACTATACCTGCGTTCAGGTCGCAGTTCATTCTGTGGGTGTGGGTTCGAGTCCCACTCCTGACACCACTCTTTGTGTGCGTCGGTGGCACAGTGGTTAGGACTCTCGCCGACCATGCACATGGTCCGGGGTTCGAGCCCTCACAGACGCACACCTGATATCTATGGTTGGCCTACGAAATTTGGGCTACCGATATCCACGCTGAAAACTCCATACTTGTATCAAAAATACGGTGTGGAATCAAGCTGTAATCAAAAATAAAATAAAAATACCTGTTTTTCACCTCGATCACGCATATTCTCATATAAAATTACAAGTCGCAAGATATACATAAACTAGGAAAGCCGACACAATAGTGAGTTTTAGTAGTGCCCATGCCATCACGCAGGTAATATTGCATTGGTAATACACCAAGCTAGCTGGCGGTAATACGACAGATATCCTGGAGGATATTGACACGAATGATTCTTGCGCACAATTCTTACTATCTATGGAATGTATGGTAATGGAAGATGAAATAAAGATCTGGGTCACAGCCGGGTACGAACCGATGACCTCTGAATTACCAATTGAGCTACGAGACCCAACTGCTAATCATGTCATCATTACACTACAATCACTACGGGCTATGTCCAGCTGCTATCTGAATCTGTAATAAATAACTGTCCATTTATTAATACACTACCTGCCTCACTAAATCTTCTGTAGCTGGCAGAGTGCCATCAATCTAACAGTTAAGGGGCGGTTGTTTTGAATCCCACTAGATTTTCATTTCATCCATCATACCAAAAATATCAGTGTGTCAACTGAAGGCTATCTCAGATGGTTTCACTATCATCAGAATAACTACCAGAACTCAGAATAACAGGGTTGATTTACCATGTAGCAAATTATGAGACAGTTATTGAGTACTGGCTGGAGTAGGTTGGGTGGGATTCGAACCCTGTCAACATTAAAAGGTGAGAAGCGGCTTTTTAACTAAAAACAAGGATATCTGAGGCGGCCTTTTTAGTTATCGAAAATCGCAAAGGCAAATTCATCATTATCATCACGATCATCAGTTAGGAGAAAATTATACGACCTGTGGAAATCACACAATCAATTACGTTCTAATAACGGACACATATTATTATTATTAATAAGGTCTTACCGGATGAATAGGTATCATTAAATCAGGACAGCGACGACTTTGAGGCAATGATAATGGGACTCTGTGTGTTTCAGGACTTAGTGAGTCATTATTATCAGAATATTCAGAAAATGATACTATGACACCAGAAGCAGCTGGAGTTGAAGATAATTCAGGAATTTTCAAGTGATGATCATTATTTTCATGAGAATCATCTCTTGATGGAATAGCTGATTTATCGTAGGAATTATCATTGACTGGAATACTGTTTGGAGTTTTAAATGCATGGTTCACCGCCATTCTATGCTCTTGACATTTTGACTTCTGACTAGCCTGATTAGTTTGATGAAAGAAAATGTAGAATTAAGTGTCAATAATAACAAACGGAAATCTATATCTAAGGAATTAGCAAGTATTAGAAATATTAAAAAAAATTAAAAGTGGCCTTCCAGGGTTTTCCAGGAAAAAATTGTTCATCAGAGTAAAATGAGCAATAACAGAAGACGATAAATAAACAATACAAGAAGATAATTTCTCATACTTTCGTTACTTTACATGATTTAACATAGTTTCGGCAAACACCACTGTTTAACAGTACAGCATAACAAACTCCAATTTTGATCACAAAATGAATTCAGTTAGTGAATCACAGGAAATTGGGGAGTACTGGAGAGTTGCTTTGGGTTGATTAGATTGGGTCGCTTCTGTAGTGAGTATTCATTACCACCACCACCATCACCACCGGAGATTGTATTACGAACTTTCAGGTTACAAGGCTACCTTTCGTTAACCAGTCATTCATTCATTGTTTTGTAACTCGTGAGTTATCAGATTCCTTTGTCAATGGCTGAATGGTCAGCGGTCTTTTCTTGTATCGTAAAGATTCTGGATTCAAAATCCCTAGTGAGTTCACGAATATACACTGTGGAAGTGCCCCAAAACAGGATGAAAAATCTGTTCAATTCTCCTTGGTTTTAAATGATTCTTCAACTGATGCTGTTTTGTGACAAAAAGTAGATTGATAATGTCTACATTAACAGGCTGAAAAAGCCAGCTAGATGAGTTTCATTAATTTAGCTAATGTTAGTCTCATACCATCTTGATTTCTATTTCATACTATTGGAAAAGCTTTGCACAAGGGAACTAAGTGGTTTAGGGGCTCCAGACACAATCACTTGACTTTGAATCAAGTGGATAACTAGGATAATTAGCCATTATACAATAGATATAGCTTTGAATTAGACAACTTACATCCTGGGGCTGATTTCTTTCATTTAGCGAGTCAGAGTTAGTTTATGCAAACTTTTTTCACCTATCCCTGAGTTAACCTATCATAATATTTCCTTTACAGAGTAGAAAGTTGCTGCACCTACCTGTACTGCTGGTCGTTGTCAAAACACATTACTGCCATCATATCCTTTTCCAACCAGTGATAAACATGTGTCCTCGCATCCTCACATCACAATGATAATTTTTAGACATAATACAACTCAACTGACTTACACACATAATTGAGGCTAAAAAAACATTCAGTTGGCATAAATTCAAGAATCTTTGCACTAACAAGAATTTGATCACCACTTTACAAGATAACTTTTTTATGTACGGTGACAACTTGAAGTAATGTTATATCCTGTGGTTTTATTTTTGTATCTCTGACTCAAAAACCTATGCCAAGACGGTTTGCATTTATGACATAGCTTCTTGAATAACATTGAAACCGATGCTTAGAAATGTTACCCGAAAGATCTGGTATGAAAAATAACATTAAGTAAGAAAACTTCAACTAGATCATTCACAGCTCTTGAGCTATAAATATTTTACATTACCTGAAGAGCTAAAATATTTCAAGTGTTTTCATGACTAACAACTTACATGATTTAGTGGGGAAAATTCCGGTGAATTTATGTCTTCACGAAAATTGGTATTATTGATTAGACTAGCAGTGAGATAACGATCACGAAGATCACAACGATACAGCATCATAGGCGCTTGCACAGGTGACGGAGTCAATTTCTACAAGAAAAGTTTTTACACTATAGATGAAACATAACGCGAAGCTTTTGCAATAAACTATTAGAAAGTTTGTCTGGTCAAATGAAAAAGACAGAGATAATTATATGTGGATAAGAGTATTGTTTTTCGCATAAATTTACTAAATACCAAAGCTTACCTAGAAGTAACAACCACACTATAGATATTTATAGTCTAATGTATTCGAATTAGTAACGTGACTATCTGTCCATTTCAACACCATGTACAACTCTGAACCTCATGCTAGGAAGGTTGTTAGGATAGCGATTAGACTAAAAGCAGTTACCGGAATAGTGTAGGAATTTTTTTACACTATGCCGGGGGGGTGTCTGTGGGCGAAGTTGTATTGTTGGGGAACAGGGATGTAACAGCAGTGAGGTGTTTCCCTCAGATGACCAGCATGCCGACTATGCTGCCTCTCCACTCTGGGGAACGAGGGTTAGAAAAGGTCGACCCCAACAATTGTACATCCCGACTTACTCTACGGTGGTCCGTAAGCGGTAGTAAGTTTACTAATACGGAACCAAACAAAGAAACCAGATCATACAGGCCATGTGTGATCGACCTCAAGCACTTGTCCCCTGCACTCTGTGGTCACGCAACACTAACCCTCTTTCTGTTTCAGGTAATCGAAGAATCAACTAACTTCCACGGTGTGAGCAGCCGGGAAGCAACAACCGCCCACACACTTCCGAGAGCACACAAAGCCTCCCCAAGCATCATTCCCCTTACCCACATCACCTTCATCATCTTACTCCCCTACTACAGTTAGTATTATTCTTCAGGCTAGAGAGACATCTTCACTTCACTCTGTGACCATAAACAATGATGAGAGCCGCAGAAATACCCCTGACGACCTCTTAGAGCCACGTCTCCAAATTCATATAGGAGCATTTAACATCAGGACCCTCTGTCGAATCGGACAACAGGCATCACTAGCAAGAACTCTGGCATACCCAGTCATGGATGTATGTTGTGTTTCAGAGACACGCATACAAGACCCGAAAGTGGTCATTCACATAACCTCACCCAGCCAACAAGGTGAATCTGCAAAATTTAAGATACTAAATGTTTTCTAAAAGTGAAAGCATTCAACCTGACAACCATTAATCCCAAAGATAATAAACCATAAGGTGTACCAGTATACATATGCATAAGAAACTATCAGATGATTGGAAGTGATTGGCAGAAAGTTCTGCAGCTATGTTTTGTGTCTATTGGTACTCATCAGCAAGACCTACATATCTGCAACTCTGTAGGTATTGATATCCTCTTAGAGATTTGAAACTGACTGACAGAATTTATTCAGCACAACTAAGAACTAGGCACATAACACCAGTTACATTTTATTAACCTACAGAAGATCAGTAGCCGGCATGAATACATTTTCGGTAACGTCTCTGACAATAGCACTGGGTGACACCAGTTCGCATTTCCATAGGGATATCAGTTAAGCACTGAAGAAAAAACTGAAACTTAAGCTACAGATTGAATGAATCTTACAGTTAACAAACCTTACAACTTTTATGCAAGTGACCTATGCTGAAGAGCGCTACTGGATAGCTCTGTCTGGGACTAAACAATACCTACATTAAATTCTGACTTCTGTTAGAGAACCACTGAAAACCAGGGAGTACTGAACAGTTATTTCGTACTGATTTGAGCCGCTTCAGAAGTACACTGAATTGGATGTGAGGAGAAATATCCTCCGATAAGATTGGATGACGATCGCGTTCTAACAGAAGTCATATTAAAACTTGAAATCAATCAAATCCCTGAAAACCAATAGTATTCATTATTCTCAATTCCCTCTCGAAACTACCTTTAAACTTAATCATGGAAAAAATTCAAGAAGATTAACTAAAGAAATCGGTAACGAGTTGCACTTACACGTATCCACAGATAACCAGACTTTAATGGTATTTTAGCTGAATGAGGTTGTGCAACAAGACGATAACAAATATTACCAAATAATGGAAGATCGCACAACTCAGAGGTTTCATTCAACTGATGATGATCATTGGACAGGAAATTTCTTTGACTAGTAGTAGTTGTAGTTGTACTCGCATCAGACAGCGTCGAAGAGGAGCTTTTAGACTCTCGTGAATGTAACAGTTGACTACCCATATCTAGCGTGTGAGAAGAGACTTTATTCTGTACATCTTTTAAGGTAGCTACACACCGACCAATCAAGTCGAAATACTGAGACCTACACAACAGGTTAAACAAGATGAAAATCGACAAGTTTTAAACACAGTTAGAAGAAGTAACAACAAAGAATACAATACAATTGTATAAACATATATTATATTATAAGAGTAGAAAATAATATTTATAGATTTGTATGTGCAGTATTATTCGTTATTGTTAGCCGAGAGGTAACGTCTTCTGAATGGTTGTTTTCTTGCTGAAGTTTATTCTGTTATCTCCTTGTGACCGTTTCTCAGAAAATCAAGTCATATATATGTGAATTATATTTCCACAGTGTAACTCCGCTGTGATTGGCTGGTGGTTTTTTCAAGGTTAAGCTTTGTCATTGTTTTTCTCATGACCCTAATTCGGGACGTGAACACTGACGTAAATTGTTGTCTACAGTTTTGGCTTGCAGACAGCTTTCGCCACAATAGGATCCCCTAACTGAGGAATGACTGACTTTGTGACGAATATATAGCCTAATGATGATAATTGCACCTCTCCACTTATCTGTGTGAATGGTGGTGCCTGGGAGGCAAATCGTTGTATAAATGCCATTAAAACATCAGCACTTCTGTTTAGAATGCGTTCTACTAACCCTTTTCAAAGATTTGTATCGTACAGTCTGAGCAACTAAACGTGGTCCGCTCTTCTACCGCAGCAATTCGTTTTTCGTTTAATAAGTACTGCTTCGTCAATATAAACAAAGACACCAATTCCCCAAATTACACAAGTGATTCCATTGATCTTTGTGAAGCAATATTCCGACAGTGTTGATACCACTGCACTATTGACATTTTAGTATTCTCTGCTTCCACAGCTGTATCACATACTGTTCGCTTCAGTAGCGAATTGTGGCATATACGCAATATTTTACTAAGGCAGAGTTTTGATTTTGAGAAGAAAGTATCTAAAAATCACCATAATGTACAACTTACTGACTCTTACAGACCTGATATAACAGTAGTTGTATCTGAATGCATAGCTATCAACAGCCCGGCAGTACTTTTGCAGAGTCATTATGCGCCCACATATGCACGTTCTAGTCTGCTCTATCCACCCATTTTCCACATAGAAGTCAAAAACACATTCTGGGTGAAAGTTGCAACAAAGATTATGAACAACATCCATTTGTAATGCTGAGCGATTTGATTAGTTAGTTGTAGGTCACTTGACTTTGGTGCCTACTATTTACTCTTGCCTGCTTTATACACTTATTTGAATCTATATTGTTTACTAACATTATTCTGGAACTGGTGTTGAGTCGCTTCTATTGATGAACACAAATTTACAAACAAAAGAAGACACAACAGAGAAGAAATTTTCAAGAGTTGTACATAGTACTCATAAAACTAGCCAGATACATGTAACTATGTTCTAGAAAATGTATAATCTAATGCGTACTGCCGTTGATTCCCAAAACTACGATGAAACAGCTGTCCAGTACTCCCTGGCTTTCAATGGTTCTCTGACTGATATTAATCTGTGATCGACTCGTAAAACAAAACTAATCCTTACAACCCAACTATAGAAAATGTAATTTAAGGTGAAATCTAGACGAGGATGAATAAGTGGAAATCACAAAAAGGGATGGAAGTTGGAATTTCATAGTGGGTGAAAACAAAAACTAATGAACCTACATGAACAAAAGCTAATGGAAAGACGGTTAGGTGTTGATATAAAAATGCACTATTATTCGACCATAGTAGTAATCATAATGATAATAAGCTAAAACAATAAAATGAAACAAAATTATGGTAAGAACGCTACTCTGGACACGATGAGGCGAGTGAATGTGCGTAGTGCTTTCGAACACAGGTCTGGTTTCAGGCCCCGAAGTACCAGTGACTCGACTATGTATAAATGGTGTATTCGAAGTCCTTACGTGAGATTTCGAGGAAATCTGTGTAGTACTGTGAAGCGATCATGCGAGAGTACTAGATATCCAGGCGTTCGATGACAGAAGTACTGGTCAGCCAAGCTAGACAATAATCAAGAATACATTACATATTAAGGTGACCAAAAGCGGTATCTCAATCTTAATGCATTAATGAATTAACTGTTTGCTGGAGAATGTGATTGACCTGTATATCCACGGACCCATATAACAATTTAAACTTTGCTGGTTCAAGGATCCAACAGACACGTAAATACAAAATAACGTTGTATCACACTGTGTTGTATCAAATAAACGTATCCGATATAGCATCACTTTATTTACTTGACCTTATATCTCACAGTGTGACTGAAGCAAATACCTAAAAGTGTTCAACATTCTATCAAAATTCTAAGTCTAAATAATTGATAAACTAAAAGTACGTATCAGATATCATTGATAAACACGCACACACAAACATGCTTCACAGTGTGTCATATTCCAACGACCAGTGTGATTGTGAAACGTATTACAATAAAGACGCAAATCTGGAAAACAAGGTTTTTAAAGCTTTACGGCGCTTGCTATGACTTGTATGATATATTTGGACAAAGTTAATATGCAGAGAGAAACAATGAAAACGAGGTCGACTGAACAAAACAGAAATAAAGGCTAAATGTAGAACTTGGCATAAAAGTGAAACAGTTCAAGTCGCTAAACGTCATAAAAGTACGCACACAAACAGAGAAACTAATGCAAAGAGAATATGATAAAGCGAAATGAGAATTACATGAAGAATAATGAAAATTTAATAGATCTCGGAGATCAGAAAATAGTGAATGCATCTGTGCTATTGAAAACGATCTTGGGCCATATCAACGACAGTTTCGAGTCTTTGATACTTAGCGTTTCGAGGACACCAGCTAATCAATCAACACCTCTCTATATGGCTCTAACGAACAGTTAAATACACCAAGGATTGATTCCATGTTTGGGTCTGACCACGCCTAGCTCTTCTCCAACCCAATTGTATGTCAGTTAACACAGCTCGACGAAGAAGGCGATGGCTCGCCATCTCTTTCGATGAACCTTTATACCTTTGTCGATTGCCTTGCTCTCTTTACCTAACTCCACGGTTAATCTCAGTATTCCTGGCCTAGGACGAAAGATATAACGCAGACACCTATAGAGCATTACCTAATCTATGAAGACATATGTGACTGCTGCACAGCATATCATTCACATCTGCACTACATTTAACTGTTCTAATTTATGCACAGCTATGCTTGTTGGGATTGCCAGAAATGTTATTCGTTAAAAGGAATTATGATGTTCCCAAAATTGGCTATTTCATTGGTGGTTATATGAAGAATATTAATCAATTTGTTTGTAGGCTCTACGTCAGTCGCTTCCATTTCTTTCCCTGTTTTCCTATCTCTGGAGTATCTCACTAGCAGTGTTTTCGTGGAGTGGGATTGCTGGTCTCACACCTAACTCTCCCTCTTTTCCGGGTTAACTGCTGGTTAAGGAAGTTGGGCGAGGCTTAAGAGAGGGTCGGCCGAGAATCGAAACCCCGACCTCCCGCGTGGCCAGTGGGCGTTTTTTCACGTTGATTATGCTACAAATTTAATTCCGGGTTGAATTTCATACATAATAAAACTTCTATAAATACAGTCTCTTTCAAAAATTAAAAAAAAAACAATAAAACTCACGAATTCTGACTAAGTGGTGAAGTAGAATTCATATCACTCTGAAGTGAAAGAGAAGGAGGATACAGAGAAAATCAAAAAGAGAAGTTTTACATTAAAAAATGTAGCACATTGAATATTAGATGCTTAAGCTTTTTCTTCCTCAACACTTAGAATTCAGTTTACACTTTTATTTTCTCACTAACTTATAGCGTATAAAAAGAGAATATTATTCGAACACACACCCGCATACAAATAATCCGTGACGTTCTCGTGTAAAAACCGAAAAATAGCTAATTTGCTGGTGGTTAGAAGTAAGATTCATAGCGTAAAGCCCTCTAGCCCTGCTGTTGGTTGATAACAGTGGTAGTACCTGGTCGTATGCCTTCACTCTATCTGAGGTTTCTGTACAGGGCTTCAGGATGTTAACAAACACCTCTATCAAACAGGCAGTTCCGCAGAGCAGTTCTGTCCAACGAATTGAAAGTAAGTCTAGTGTCAAGAAATCCAACGATTGTTGTTATATATGTCACTACAGTGTGCGGAAATTACCTGTCTGTCTGTCTGGATTCAACATAGAACTTGGCACCGAAGTGCACCAGTTCGAGTTGCCACGTTCCAAATAGCACACAGAGGTAGACAAGAAGATGAGTGAAGAGAATCAATAGAGTTTGACAAGTATAAGAGTGAAACAGAATGGGTAATGGTAGAAAGGAATATGAAAGATTACAGAGACTGAATACATCTGCGCTGGCATTGACAACGATTTTGAGCCATGTCACCTATTGTCTCCAGCCATTGATTCCTAGAGTCCCGAGGGCCCCAACCCGGGAGTCTGCATCTCCCTACCTGACTCAGTTTAACTGTCAAGGATTTCATGGATTGATGAGGCCATGTTTTTGTTTGGCCACCACTGGCTCTTTTCCAACCTGAACCTATATCAGCTAGTAATGCCCGTCGGGGGAGGCGGTGGTTAGGCATGCGCAGCACGTGACCTAGCCATCTTAGTCTATGTAACTTTATAGCCTCGTCGATTGATTTTCCCTCTTTGCCCAACACTCTACGCCTAACGTCAACATTACTTACCTTGTTAAACCACCTAACGTGAGACAGAGATCGCAGACATCTATGATCGAAAGCAGTCAACCTTTTCATGTCTTCAACGCGTATTGGCCATGTTTCAGAGCCATAGAGAAGGACGGAGCGAACTGATGAGCAGTACACACGTCCCTTGGTTGATAACCGGATGTCACGCCTACGCCAGAGATGGTGTAAGTCAGCGAAAGCAGCTCGAGCTTTTCGGATCCGTGCTGAGATTTCATCGCCAATCAGTCCGTTGGTGCTAATACAACTTCCCAAATAGGTGAAGTGGTCAACATGTTCTATCACTTCACTCCCTATCACTAAGTTAGGAGTTGACGTGGTCCAGTCCTGTAGCAGCATCTTACATTTTGCAGGGGCGAATCGCATGCCAAACATACGAAGATTGCTGCTCAAGGTGTTCAGAAGACTCTGCATTTTGTCAGCATCCTCCCCTAACAGGACTATGTCATCTGCATATTCTAAGTCCATAAGACTATTCCCTGGTAACAAGTCGATTCCTAAGTCATTACGTTCAGTTAAGGATACTTCCATCAGCATATCTATGATGAAGTTAAACAGAAATGGGGAAAGTGGACATCCCTGTCGGACACCACTGGTTGTTACCAATTCAGATGACAATTCCCCATAAGCCCTTACACGACTACGTGAGTTTGAATAGAGTGCCTTGATTAGTGCAATGTACTTTCTTGGCACTCCCTTCACAGTCAGACATTGCCATAGTACCTTTCGATCCACGGAGTCGAAGGCCGCCTTCAAGTCAAGAAATATGACAATTGTTGGACGCCGAAAAGTGTGTCTATGTTCTAGAATCTGTCGAAGAGTGAAGATATGATCTATGCACCCTCTACCTGGTCTAAAGCCTGCTTGATTTTCCCTTGTCTGTTCCTCCCGAGTTCTGCTTAGTCTATGCATGATTACTGAGCCTAGGATTTTAGAGACTATGTTCGTTAGGCTGATCCCCCTATGATTATCACACGAGGACTTGTTTCCCTTCTTGAATATCGGTATAATAAGTGACTTACCCCAGTCTGATGGAACTGTCTCTGATTCCCAGACTTTGCCTAGTACCTCAGTTAATCTACAAACTAGTATGTCACCCCCATATTTAAACACCTCCGGAATAATTCCGTCGGGTCCTGCCGCTTTGCCTCGTTTCAAATTACTGATAGCTTTTGTGACCTCACTTACAGACGGCGGACCAGTGTCTATATCCCATTCGGGTGTGGTGGATGTCGGGGAGGTTCAGTGTGGCTGTAGGCAAGTTAAATTGTCCTCAAAGTGTTCTTTCCAGCGTTCAAGGCGTCTATCCTGAGAGCTAATTAAGGAGCCATTTTTCTCAGAAATAGTCTCACTTATGAATTGCCTTCTCCCACCCGTTTCTCTGATGAGTCTAAAGAGTTGCCTAGTGTTGCCTATCGCCGATGCTTTTTCCATCTCTTTTGCCTTTGTCACCCACCACTGTTCACGGTCCTTGCGGAGACTTTTAGTAAGTTTCCTTTTGTGCAGCTTTCGCTCCTCATTGAATTCGGAGCTCGCCGGAATAAGTCTTCTAGCATCTATCAGTTCGGATGAGGCAGTCGAAATCCAGTGGTTTTTACTCACCTTTGGATTTGCCTTATTCACAGCTTTTACAGCTGTATCTATAGCTGACTGAATATTCTTCCAGGCTTCTCCAGGGTGAGCACAGCTGTCGAATTCAGATATGCGTTTAGCTAGTTCTTCCTCAAATAGGGATTTAGTTTCCTGATCGAGCTGGGGACGTGATGGTTTTACCGCCAGCTGTTTCCTACGTCCGTTCAGTCGTAAGCACACACGAGCCCGGACCAGTGCGTGATCGGTATCTACACACGTGTTCCAGAAGGAGCGACAATCTCCTACCGACCCACGCCAACGATAGCTTATTGCTATGTGGTCTATTTGTGTCCAGCGTTGGTTTGATGATGGGGGTCGCCAGGTTAAACAGTGTCTCTCCTTGTGTTTAAAGTTAGTGCTTACAAGAAACAAATGATTATCTGAACAGAACTGTAGGAGACGGTCACCGTTGTCGGTTCGCTGGCACGGAACTCCATAGGTGCCACCGACATCCTTCTCAGATTGACACAATTTCCCTACTTGAGCGTTAAAGTCACCAGCTAGAACGACTATATCTGAGCGTTTAGCCTTTCGCACCAAACTAGACAGCTTTTGGTAGAACTCATCCTTCGTTTCATCCGAACTGCAGTCAGTGGGGGCGTAGGCGGAGATTACGAAAAGGCATCGGCGAGTAGTGCAGTCCTTTCTCCTTCTTACTGATCCGTTCAGACGGACAGCACACATTCGGCTATCTACTGGGATCCAGTCAAGCAATGTCTTTTCTGCCCTAGTACTCAAAGCTATCCCTACGCCAGCTAATCCTCGTGAACTAGCTGTGGCATCTCCTGACACCCTCAAGGTGAATTTTGAAGATTCATCCTGTTGGCCAGGTGGGGTTAGGTGAATAACCACACTTGGGTCTTGTATGCGTGTTTCTGAAACACAACATACATCAATGGCTCGGGATGCCAGGGTCTTAGCTAGTGATGCTTGTTGTCCTATTTGGCAAAGTGTCCTAACATTAAATGCTCCTATATGAAATTGGTGGCGTGGCTTTAGGAGACTATCGGTGGTGGTTTTTTGGCTTTCGTCGTTTTTAGTGGACACAGAGTGAAGAGGGAGTGAGGAGCCATCAAGTAGAGGAGTTGCATCAGTGGGAGGAAGGCAAGGTAATAGAGATGAAGATGAAGAGAAAGATAAGTGAGGATTAGAGAGGTTTTGTGTGCATTTCGGATTGTGCGGAAATTACCTAAATATTCTCTGTAGGAAATACGAAAGCAAAACTTATCATTACTGTTCTAAATCGACACGTGAGAAAAAGAGTGAGAGTTAAACTCTAAAAAGAAAGAAAATATAAATAAACTGACCTGATCTATAACTTTTTTCCCAGTTTCGTAGACTGGTGAAAATCGACGTTTTGAGAATAATGAACTGCTTTTATTACCTCCTTTAGGGAAAGCATAAATTTCAATTATGCACTCAAATTCGGAGGTGACATCATCACTGGATCAAAATTTGTATTTAGGAAAACATAAAGTAGGTTAGTTCGATTAACAACAGAACAGAATGATTATTTTTATTTTGATACAGTAGTAATCAACGTCAATAAAAAAACAGCAACTGCTACTTGAAGCTATTTTGAGACTGAGCATTTTGTTTCAGTATAATCAATCAGTGGGAAACTCCAAATTACAGGAGGTGGTTCTCATGACCCAATGGATAGCACTTAAGTAATTGAAGCGACGGGTGCTGGGTTCGAATCTCTATGTAAAGATGAGGCACGCGTATTGCATTCCTTCACTAGCCATCACCAACCAGGTGATAACGAACTCTGTTTTCAGACAGACAATTTTATTCGAAACTACGATCTCTCTAATTAGAAGTTATTTGGTGAATGGTGAGTGGCAGTGGAATCCAGGATGCGCATTTTGTCCTGAGACCGAGCACTTCAGTCCAATCAATCGACGGGAAAATCCGAAATTTTAATTAAATACGATGTGTTTATTTAAGTAAGTGAAGAACTAAACAGTTTTCCCGTATTAGTTTGGAAGTTGACCATTACACCTATGATTTTGTAACAGATTGATGTCAAAAATTTGCCATACTTTGAAGCGGGAATGTATCTTCTTGAGCTCCTGGGGTGTAAATTAAGTGTTCCATGATTGCCATATCCATGCTAGCTCGTAGTGAGATTCTTACAAATGTTTTTTTATCCCGGCTTTGATATCCTCATCCACGAGGACTTATAGTTGGAATAATGCTGCCCAGGTAGGTGGAAGACACGACCTCCTTCAAATTCCTCCCCATCGTGATTTATGATCTCGGCAGTCTATGGTCGCCCGAATCTCGGTAGATGGAGAGGGATTCGAACCCATAATGCAGCGGTTGGAAGTCAAATGTCTAAACTTATGAGCCACTCCTCGCGTGCTTCGGAAACTTTTTAAAGTAAATGTACTCAATGGCTGTCTGAATATTTCAGATGTTATTGTTTATTGACAGTTCACAAACTAACAAATTCTGGGTTCAAGTTTTGCCACGGATTGATGTCAGTTGGATAACCATTGGAACCGGGGAGTACTGAACAACTAATTTGTTATCCTAGTTTGTGACTCTTCATCAATACGCATCAATGACTCCACTGGGGATTGAACTGAGGACCTTCAGGTTACAAGACGATGGAATCCAATGGCCCATGTAATTTAACTTCTGTCTATTCACGATTTTTAGCGTCACCTCCAGTCAACTCACACCTGGAAATTCTCATTTCATATATATGTAGATTTTAAACTCCATAACAAAGGATTTTTTGTTTGAACTCAGGTGCGGATGATATTGCACAGTCGTCCAGGCTGAAGTAAACAGATGGATTCGGATTCGAAACTGCGGCTACATATAGGCTGAAAGCCAAGTACTTAAGCCAGTGAATCAGATGTCTACCGTCACACCAGAAGACACTGACATTATGTCACACATCGTCTAGGAAACTCTCTAGCTATAATTGTCAACCAAAGATCAAATTAGAAGATGCACAACAAATGTTCTACACACAAGACTAAAATGATTGGCAGAAGCTTCTATAAAGAAATACAATTCATCAACCATTAAACAACTAGTCATATTTATTGTGCGTGTCATCATCGTTTTAGCGAAGAAAACTTTCTTTATCGACGAAATCATCTTCAGAGGTTGTACAATCGTATTTATACTTACAAAAATGTATAGTGGTCTATTATTGAGTAATAAGGGGTGACATAATTGATATAATTACTCAGAAGTGGCTTTAGAAGTGAAAATTAAAAGTTGTAAATTACATGGTACTCAACCGCACAAAGATAGAAATTTGATAAGGTTAAAATTGTTATTGAGTGAGAATAAAGGTATTTGAATGTCAATTTAACAAGTGTGAAATGTACAGAAGGAGCATATGAGAGTGATAATAGTGAATTAACTATTAAAGGAAAAGCAAAGTAAAATTAAAAAAGAGAAGAAAAAAAATTTCTTTTACAGGGAACGGTTAGTGAAGAGGTTAAGACCAAGGTAGAATATGAGACTGGACAAACTTTTTCTGTATACAGAGTTCTGGGTCGTATTGACGAATCGCCAGCGCCTCTGCCTTACACAAAAGCCGAAACCTGACGCCCTTTGTACCATTTGGCTCCACTTTGCAGATGACCTTGAAAGACGACTTTAACCTTATCGAATTTCTATCTTTGTGCGGTTGAGTACCATGTAATTTATAACTTTTAATTTTTACTTCTAAAGCCATTTCTGAGTAATTATATCAATTATGTTACCCCCTATTACTCAATAACAGACCACTATATATTTTTGTAAGTATAAATACGACTGTACAGCCTCTGAAGATGATTTCATCGATAAAGAAAATTTTCTTCGCTGACTCAATGGGTATTTTCGGTGATCATCATTTTAATTAAATGCAGTAGGCATGAGGATAGACTACGGCTGCTCTGAAGTCAGTGTAGAGATCTCTTGCAGTCACGATAAGGAACAAAATCTGTATCTTTAAAACTAATGTCAAGTCGGTGAGTACTTCGATATGGTTCAGAGACTTTGTTGACGAACCGCTAAGAGAGTGTCTAAAATGCTGCTCCAGACTTTCATCAACAGCTGCCTTAGTCCTATATTGAAGATTAAATAGTCAACCAGAAACGGTATGCTACAAGGAACTCTGGTAACGAACCAACCAAAAACCACTCTCCCAATAAATATGCAGGAAGTGGAGGTGGATTACACATACTCTGAGCAGACTGTTGAGGGGTATTAAGCATTAGGCAGCTTGTCAAGTGGAACCCAAATGGGAAACGATGAGTCGGGCATCACTTCGAGAGTTATAAGGAGGAGATCACCAAAGAAGGAAATGAAAACTTATAGGAGATCGTGTAGCCAGATAAAAAGCACTACTAAGTTGTGCTGATGAAGTCCTATGTTCCGCTGGGAACCCAAGGGAACGATAATAATAATTAGCTTACAAAATAACAGTGCTATTTATCTCCTCCAAACCTGGATAAGTGTATTACAGCATTGGGCTCGTGATATACTGTTTAAAGTTGAGTTCTTAGACTATTGAGTTATAACTGCATAAAATCAATATATTAGTATTCAGTCAACAATCATCAGTTTAAATGTCTAGCTTCTGAACACTTACAAAGTCCACTTATCATTAAATTCTATATCAGCTGTACCAGGTTTGATATCAAAGATTAGTCGAGTATCACGGATCACATGACCAACTTGAATTGTACAAAATAAACTATAGCCATCGCATTGATCCCCAGCATCTACTTTATCGACACTATCTCCAGAAGCGCTGATAGCCGTAGGTAGTAGACCACTTACGAGACTGGAAGACTGAGGAAACAACTGTTGCATAGCCAAATTCATATTGGTGCCAGGGGCTGAATTACGCCATATCAACGGTATACGCACATCTGAAAGTATAAAAGTTACAAAACATACTGAAACACTAAGTAGAATTGAAACAAAATTTTTATTTCCTCGTCAACATATTATTTGGCCGACAATAAACGGGTTTGAGTGACCTTGCTACCGAAAATACATAATAACGTTAAATACAGTGTCGTGCATCAAACGTATTTGGAAAGTTGAACCACTTCATAGGACTAACTGCTAACGAAACCACAGCACAGATATATACAAAGAACCCATTAATCACTTCTCAGCCAACATCATCTTTGGTGCTTAGAAAGAGGTACGCATCCTGAGTCGTCGATTTCCTCGTAGTATGTTCCAGAACCTAGCGGACGGTAATAATACGATTAGTGCACACTTGTATGGGTTTGAAGTCTATCTGGCTTTCTCAGGTTTGTTTTTTCTGAGCCATAATTAGTCTTCACAGAATAATGGAACTTAGATATTCTGTTAATCAAGCTATATAATTAGTGATCGTCACCAATCTGATGGAACTATTTCAGAATCCTATGCGCCAGCTATTACATTAATTAATGTAGTCAATAATTCAGTGACAACTGATTTATTCCTATTGAGCCACGTTGAAGTATGCTTAGCCACACATCTATACAAAGCAGGATTAATGACCTTCAGTTGTTTTTGCTTGCGATTCACTTACTGGACATAGGTTTTCTAACTTTTCTGAACTCGTAGAAGTGTGCAACTGTATTCTACTTCATTCAACATGAACTCATCCTCAGTTACAAATTGATGGCCATTAAAGAGGAATTTAAGTTTTTAAATTTGCAGACATTCAATTATTTCCACAACTACTTGCGATTTCATGCAGTGGGCAATCAGTCACACTTATTATGTGACGAATAATGATATTACACGACTGCTTAAACTTCGGTATATGGAGCGGGTTTCTGAACCTGTGACCTAGTGGTCAGACGTCAGAGGACTAAACTGATCAATCGTAGACGTACAATCATTATTCACCGAGAACTAGATGGATTACAACTCAACAGTTGATTGGTAACGTGAGTAATAAGCAGTCTAAAAGCCATTCGTGGCGGTGTAGGGTCATGGATGAACAGCTAAAGAGAAACTAAAAACAACTAACGAATAGCGAATTGATGACAAACATCTGAAACTTATTAAACGACCCAGGCAAATAATACAAGATAATACAGATATAGAAAACATCGAGGCAATCTATTTGAATTTCATTACTGCAACTATGTGTGTTGATGGTACAGTGGTAGAATACCTGCCAGCCATGAACATGGTCTGGGTCTAAACCCCGGCAGACGCATTGCTAAACCTTTCTTATCTGGTAGTAAGCCCGGAAAAGAAGGAAAGTGTGCGCAAGACTGACAACCACATCCCACCACTACTGAAAATCTAAAAGATTGTAGCTCTATTTTCCATTGAAGACGAGAGGAATGAAAGATACACAAATAAAACAGGCACCAAGGTATACCTGATAGGCACAACTGAGCATATCCTGGCCGAGCAAAACACGTTTTTCGTAAAACTGTTCCATTAATGATGGGAATTTCTTTCAACAATGAATTTGGAGTCAGTGAATTTGCAAGTAAAGCATCTTCAACTTTCTCCCTCTGAATTAGTCGCATACAACTGAGTAACTGTGCATGACTGACAAGCAGAGTTTTATCTGCATCCAATCGTTGTAATGGATTTTGAGCAATCGATAAAATACGACAAGCAGCTGCTCGTATTTTATAATAACGCTCTAAATCCTGTTGTAGCTTTGGATCCTAGATTAAAGGGACAAATAAATAAAAATTACATCACAAACAAAACAAGTCATGTGGTCTTCAGACAACAGTGAAAAGATGAACTTTACGGCCGTGTATAACCTTCCTGTACTTTGATAATTACACTCTTAATGAAGTACTTTTTTAGGCATCTGTTTTATACTGTATTTGGTAGCTAAATTAAAATGAAAACAAATCATTGAATATAAACGTTGACCTACACAGTATGGAACCTTATTTACTACAGAATAGGTTACGCATTTAAAAAAGCGTGATAAAGTTCTAGACATCTTCAGAATTATCCAAAGCAATCGATGCATAGGTTCATACAGCCTGGATTTCAAATTGGTGGGAAATATAAGCATCTGGAATATAAATACACATTGGAAGTTTTAACCATATCTACTTAACAATGAGGGAAGAGACTGATAATAAGAATGAGTAACAGACAACAGCCATCAGGAATATAGTATATTATTTGAAATAGATAGTGATTAGTGACATTATTGTCTCTAATGTAGCATAAGAGAATGTTACATAAGGAAAAAGATTGATTATCTCAACTACTCGGCTGAGATTTTTCATATCACACACTATTAGACACAAACTTACTGAGTGATGGTTTGTGATATTATGCAGCCCAGTCTGAGGTGGGTATGGCAGGAGAAGGAGTTAACAAACAACTGAACTCACTTTTCAGAGTACAACTTTGCGCTGGAGTGCAACATTTAAAGTCGTCACACTTCAGAAGACACACAAAGTTAGGGGAAAATGTAAAGAAACTATAAAAAAACAGAAATGTATGGGATAAAGAATAACTTCATGGGGAATAATGAAGATTTAATGGACCTGGGAGTTCAAAAGAGGATAAATCGGTTCCTGTCATTGAGACACATTTTGAGCCATGTCACCAACACTCTCCAACTATTGGTACTTAATGTCTTGGTGACCCCCACAAGGCGGCCTACACCTCTCTGCGTGGCTCAAAATAACAGTCAAAGGCTTCATAGACTGACTTCACCTTAGGGTTTGACCGACCCTAACTCTTTCAACTCAGTTCTATATCGGCAAGCATTGTTAGGCTAGGAAGGAAATGGCTTGGTGTGAACACATGTGCTAGAGATCTCAATTGATGCAGCTCCATAACCCCTGCTTATCTAACACTCTACTACCAACTTCAATATCACCATATTATATCACTTAATGGTGTAGAAAGAATGGAAACACTTATGGTCAAAGACAGATGTCTTCCTATTCTCCACAGTGGTTAGGACTCTCGCCGACCATGCACATGGTCCGGGGTTCGAGCACGCACCGACGCACATCTGATATCTATGGTCGGCCTGCGAAATTTGGGCTACCGATATCCATGCTGAAAATTCCATACTTGTACCGAAAATACAGTGTGGAATCAAGCTGTAAATCAAAAATCAAAAATCAAAATCAAAAAATACGTCCTTCAATGGATAGATGGATGCCGCAACTATAGCAAAGATAATGCAAGTTGGCAAATACCAAATGATACTTTCGTATCTGAGCTGCAATTACCTTATCAACCACTCTTACTAGTACCGATGCAACTTCCAAAATAAGTGAAGTGGCCAAAACAATCAACCACTTTCACCCTCTATCCTTAAACTAAGAGTCGATTCGGACCAGACCTAAAGCGTTATACTTTGCTCAAAACGTCCAGAAGAGTGCATTTTGTTAATAAATACCTTATAAAACAACACAAAATTCTGATTAACAGCTCAGATAATCCTTAGTTCCTCATACATTCTCTACAATACGAACGGGATGACAACCCAGTAAGGTTGTGAAAATCCTTCTACAAATGTTTTTCAAGTGGTTACCCAATAGCACTGGTTACGTGGGAGCATTAAGCAAAATATTACCACTACATTTTGTTCACCGAAGATCTTGTAAACTTCGGAAATGGGGCTGAATGTCAGTATAGCAACAGGAACAGGAAGAAAACCCAGAGCTCAAATACTAGGCTGAAATGATAAAAGGATGTATTTCGTCAACAATTTGTATACTAGGCCTTTCAGAGTTTTATTAGCAAATATGTTAGATGTGGGCACAGTAAATGAAATATTTGACTTGCAGACAAATCAGTGTAGTGCCTAAAATACCGCATTGCTGCAAGTTACCATACTTCCCATAAGCACACATGAGAAAGGAAACAAAATATATAAACATGGACATGCAAGTAAAAATAATAGTTATTGAGTGAATATGCCCATGGCTTTGAAGACTACAGCAAATAAGCCATGAATGCCGTTCCAGCTGTGTGACTTCCGAAGTAAGAGAAATAGTCAACACATTTCACAACTTCAATCCCTATTCTTAAGCTACGAATCAGTCCGGAACATTTCTGAAACATCACTTTACTTTTCACAGAGGAGAAGAGCATATCACACAAACTTAGATTTTTGATCAGAACCATCAGAAAACCACATTTCTTCACTAACTTCAACTAAAACAACCAGGTATCACGTAGATTTTAGAGGCACTAAAATCAAAGATAGTCATCTTCATTGGTGAATCCGCAGAAAAACTAAATAAAAAGGTTGGCATTCAAAAATCTACGGCTGGCCTTACTACTTGTCGTCATCTCTGACGCTAGATGTTAGGATATTACACATTCACGTGAGTTTAAATGAAATATAACACTTTCTCGTCAATGTTTTCACTAGAACCGTTACATTTCCTAACATGCAAATATATATAGTGCGGTAAAATGTGACTGACTGGTTTCAACATAGAACTTTGCACCGACGTGCAGCGATTCGAGTCGCAACACTTCACTCAGCACACAAAGCCAGAGAAGAAAGTAAATAGAAATGCAAAATAGAGACAGTTATCAGAGATATGAGGCAAAAAGAATAGGAATATCGAAGAATATGGTTTTATTGGGTATTATAAGTCACAAGGAGTGGATGCATCTGCACTAGCCATTGAGAACGATTTTGAGGCATATCACCAATCGTCTTCAGACATTGGTTTTTACCGTTCAGAGGACCATAACCAGGAAGTCTACATCTTCCTACGTGGCTGGCTTAAACTAACTGTTGTGGATTTCATTGACTGATGAGGTCATGTTTTGGTTTGATCACCAGTGGCTCTTTTCCAGCCTGACCCTGTCAGCGGTGAAATGTGGCTAATTGAAGCATACAACTTCCTGCCAATGCGTCACGGATCTTAATTCTGTTTTACCTAGTTCGACCTGGTTAACTGAGTATTATTATTATTATTATCAGTTATTGCACCATGGGAATAACAAACATCTATTGTACGTAAATGATTTCAAATAATTGTATTCATTTTAATGACTGAAAGTCAAAATAATCAAATTAACCTGATCTTGGATCTTTGAAAATTAAACAATTAAGCAATCAAAAACAACTCGACAAAGCTATATACACAAAGAATATAGTGTAGGTATCATTTCCATATGTATAATCTTGACAGTATAAGCAAAATGAACTTACTGAACTTTTGAATTTTGAAGGAGGTAATGGTGGTAGGGTTGAATTACACAGTTTATGCTTAGGGACTTTAAAACATTTACGATTTGGATTCCATAAACTTGGAAGAGACATTACATTATATTTAGCACTATGTCTATTACAAGTCAAATTTTACAGAGATTATGAAGTTATGGAGATGATGAATACATCACGTGAATCACTAATCAATTTACCAATCAACTTCATTGAAATAAAGTGACATGACAGAACTTCAATAAATAACTAACTATTCATCACACAGAAAATAATCTAAAATATACCCACGCGTGCACAGAACAACTTATAAAAACGTAGGTAGAGTATTAGATTTCACTACATCTACTAGTGATATTATTGAGTAAACACACTAATACAAAGTAATTCACCACTTGCAATGTCTGAAAAGAGTATAGAAAATTTCAAGTTTGGTTCTACGAGTGGTTTTAAAATGACACGTAACACAGACCACAAAAAAGCACAATAGATTCTAATCCTTCTAAAGTATGTGGGCGGTATTACTAAGCTATGGTGAAAACGTAGTACCACGTTAGTCAGTAGGTTGCAGTTTTATATATAATTCTAACTGAATTAGGACGCCTGAATGTTGCTCCGCTTAGAAACATGCTACACCCATACTGTACGAGCTGGTGGCCCAATCTAACTGCCCAAATGTCGGCAGAGATGAGGTTTGAAAAGGTGACCCATTAATGAAATTCCAACGCTTAATTCAGTGACCCACAGTGAAATCAAAGTGTCGGTCGACTCTAGCGACAGATCATGAATATGACATTGACATACAAACAAATAATTCTGTAGAAACAACAGCATACTCAAATTATTCAGCATAGTTTCCTCAAACAGTAATATTAACCTCAGAAACCACACTAAAACAGACTAACATTACATGGAATAAGCATCTCTTTTACTGACCTTATTTACTCTCTGATAAGTGTACTCAAATAACTACAAAGTCCAATTCAAGTAAGTTATAACGTGTAGTGCTTCAGCAACTCTGAGAAATCTAAACCTTCATAAACCTCACTCAACGGCTATCTGACATCACATGTTAAGTAATCCGCAAAGAAAATTTCAGTGGTGCCTTTGAACTGGAGAAAGAACTGAGACAATACTTCGAAATATCACCAATGATATTCCTAACTGCTGCAAACCGGATCATACATTTATTTATTTAAACGCATAAAAAACTTGGTACAATATGGCACCAAGAAAGATGCGCCACACAATAATAATAAAACAACATAGATCAAAAAAAGGAAGGAAGGAAAAGAAAAAATATATATAAGTAGGGAACGGATAAAGAACTTCATCTGGAAGGAAAACAGTCATGCTTAACAAGTTCAAACAGTGTTCGTTAGCTATCATCGGGAAGGGAAGAAAGAAGGAGATCGCAACACATTCGCCACTGATTACGATTCTTGGCCATATCCGATAACGTTTCGAGCCATCGATTTGAGCTATCTCTCGGACCCCAACCAGGGAGTCGTGACACACCAACCGATGCTAATCTAGCACAAAAATCCTTCATCCCACGACGCCACGTCATGGACTGACCACCTCTCCGCCTTTTCCATCCCGTCCCAGGGCTAGCGAACAGAGACCTGTACGGAAGCCTCTGGGGTGACATTCGGAGCACATGTCCAAGCCACCGGAGCCGGTGTTTTTAGATGACGACATTCAATGAATGGTGATCTCCACTTTGTTCAAACACACGCCGCCGAACCTCAGAATTACTCACGCGATGATGCCATCGAACGCAAGCAATCCTGCGGAGACAGCGGTGATCGAACACGCAGAGTCGCCGCACATCCTCAGCTCGGAGAGGCCAGGTTTCACAGGCGTAGAGCAGCGCAGCCCGCACCGAAGCATTGTATACCCGACCTTTGACAGCCAGGCTAACGTCGCGACGGCGCCATAGGTGGCTCAAGTTGATGTATGCCACCCTAGCCTTCATTATACGGTTGGAAATCTCATCCGTCACCCCTCCGCCAGCACTCACACAACTACCCAGGTACACAAACTTATCAGCAACTTCAAGCGGTTCACCAGCAGGTAGGAGTGCAGGTACAGGCTCCTGCCAATCTTGTAACAGTACTTTGCACTTAGACGGCGCAAAGCACATACCATACTTACAGACACTGATCGCCAACTGATTAAGTGCGATTTGGGCAGCCTGCATGCTATCGCACAGTAAGACGATATCGTCTGCATACTCGAGGTCGAAAAGTCTATCTCCAGGTAGCAGATCTACACCACCTTCACGCACATCCTTCAGAGCTGACTCCAGAATGTCATCGATGGCAAAGTTAAAGAGAAATGGAGAGATTGGGCAACCCTGTCTAACCCCACTGTTGGTTGGGAACAGTGGTGATAGTTGGTTGTATGCCCTCACTCTACCTGAGGTGTTTCTGTATAGGGCTTTCAGGATGTTAACAAATTTCTCAGGTACACCTCTCTCTAACAGACAGTTCCAGAGCACAGTTCTGTCCAACGAATCGAAGGCAGCCCTAATATCAAGAAACACAACGATCGTTGGCCTGCAATACGTGTGGCGGTGTTCCAACAACTGACGAAGGGTGAACATATGATCAATGCATCCACGACCTGAACGAAACCCAGCCTGCTCTTCGCGAATCAATCCCTCACGTATTTTGCACAGTCTGCGAAGCAAGACAACAGCCAATATTTTAGACGCGACTGGTAAGAGACTGATAGCCCTATGATTGTCACACGAATTACGTCGACCCTTTTTAAAGATGGGGACGATAATGGCTTCGTTCCACATTGATGGTACACTCTCTGTCTCCCACACCTTCCTGAACAACCCAGTTAGAGCCATTGTGAGAGTCTCGCCACCATCTTTAAAAAGAGCCGGGGGTAATTTGTCTGGGCCGGGCGCCTTATGGCGCTTCAGGACTTGGAGTTCCTTACGGACCTCCGCTTCGGTGGGTGGGTCGGTGCTAACCGACCAAGGAGCACTCGGGCTAATGATAGTAGACACTGAAGCTGGTGGCCAGCTGAACTGCTTCCCGAAGTGCTCTGCCCAGCGTTCCAGGCGTCTTTTCAGGCTGGTAATTGGAGTGCCATCTGCCTCACAGACCGTCTCGCTGACACCTTGTTTCTTGCTGCCGGTGGCTCGTATGAGTTGGAACAGCTTCCGACTGTTGCCAGATGCAGCAGATGACTCCATCTCACACGCACGTTCTGACCACCAGGCTTCGCGGTCCTTACGTAAACACTGTCTAATCTTGCGCGTGAGCGCCTTTCGCTGATTGTTGTATTCGCTGCCAGCCGGAATGGACCGGCGTTCATCCATGAGTTGCAAGGAACTCGCAGAAACCCAGTGGTTGTTAGCGGAGCATTCTTTCAAGCCGCAAGCGGCTACACTCGCCTTTTGCATGGCACCTTGCACATGAAGCCAATGTTCATCTATACTACTTGGGAGGTTGCTGGCAAGCATTGTTTTTAACTCATTCTGATATTTCAAAGAAGTAGCAGGTGCTACTAGTTTGCTCACATCAACGCTTAGACGACGGCTTTTACGAACCCCACCAAATCGCAAGACGAACTTGGCACACACTAACGCATGATCGGAGTCCAGGCATGTGCTCCAGAAGGAGAGACAGTCTTGTATGCATCCTCGCCACCGGAAACTGACCGCAATATGATCAATCTGAGTCCAAGCTTGCTTCGCAGAGGGAGGACGCCAGGTAGCGCTACGGCGATGGCTGTGCCGGAAGTTGGTGCTAGCTAGAAATAGGTTGTGATCCGCGCAAAGCTGCAGAAGACGGTCCCCATTATCTGACCTGCGACCATGTAGTCCCCACTGACCACCTAGACGATTCTCCTCTGAGCTTAGACGCCCCACCTGTGCATTCAAGTCCCCAGCCAGCACTACGATATCCCTCCGACCCGCCTGTTTCAAGAGATCGCTCAGTTGGTAGTAAAACTCATCCTTCATTGCATCCGGGCTGCAATCCGTCGATGCATAGGCAGAGACAACAAATAGACACCGCCTATCTGGCCTACTACTCTTTACTTTCGTATAACCTTCCAGCCTCACAGCACATAAACGACTGTTAATGGGAATCCAGTCGAGCAGTGCAGCTTCGGCTCTAGCGCTCAGTGTGACACCGACACCAGCTACGCCGGATGCCGACGCCACAGGGTCACCGGATAAGCGCAGGTGGTACATACTACTAGAACTTCCAGACGGGGAGGATAGTCGAAGCACTTGACTGGGATCTTGAATGCGGGTCTCCGAAATGCAGCAGACATCGATAGCGAGGCTTTCCAAAGTTCTTGCCAGCCCTGCCTGTTGTCCGATTTGCATCAGCGTCCGAACATTGTAGGTAGCCAGCTTGAACGCAGCACGCGGTTTCAGGATATCCGTGTTAGGTGTCACATTGGGAACAACCATTTTGAGGACTACTCACTAACATCTCGAAACGACACGGATAGGCTGGGAATCTCGACAAAGGCAAAAGGCTGTCGAAGGTTAAGAAGCCAAGGTTAGAAAAGGTACAATACAGGAAACTATGTATAAAAATAAAAGTAGGGTAGGAGGGAAATAAGTTCCTTGAGGGATCAGTATTGCTTGGAATCATTTTGCTAGCGCGCGTTGAGTTTCAATGGGAGTTCGTTGCTTTAATTCATTCATTGTGTGCGGGCTGAGATACTGCCCGGGCGCCCAGACCAAAGCAGGTAGTTTTATTGAGGGACCACCCCCGAGCCTTTGACTTGGAGTCTAATCCGCAAGGCAGCGGAGCAGCGTCAGGAGCTGCATTCCCATGGTTGCCGGTGACCCATGTGGGTTCATACGCCATTTGATCCGATTGGAAACTGGAGCCCATGTACCCCATGGTAACTGCTTTTAGTTTAACCGCTATCCAGAAAACCTCCCTGACATGGTAGGACCTGTAGAGACAGAGTCCCAGTCAGTTCAGCTTGTTGGGTCATTGCGGTATTCAAGCCCGACCACCTCGACAAGGTAGCAGTTATCGGCCGGGCCGGATCATACAACAGACCTTGGAAAGCAAGACGACGAGTATACGTTGGACGGACGAAAAAAGGTGGAAGAACTGGACTTTGCAGGTGATTTATTACTAATACCACACAAACTCGAAAACCTACAGACGAAAACTAAGAGGTTGGCAGACGGGTCAGGCAGCGAGTAGGAAACTTCAGGTGAGCATAGAAACAGAGATGATGAAAATACCAAACTAACAACAAGGATGCCCCTGTAGACGGGAGAAATCTTAAGACGTTCATTGCTTTGAAATCAGTCTGGACATATACAGCATTTAGCACGACGAACACAATCTAGATCTTTAATACTAATATAAAATCAGTGCCTCTATAGAGTCAAGAGATTTGACTCGCCACAAAGGCATTTCCGACAGCATGCTGCAGACATACACAAACAGCTGCCTTCACTTGTTAGTGAAGTCCAGAGGGCTAGAAAGGACAAGCAAGGAAAGATTACGTCAGCGTGACAGCCAAAAACTTACTATTCAACCTTATCATGACCCTTAACCATATTTTAATTTTGAGATAAAAGCAGACTTTGTAGCGTTGATGCACGTCCCTTCCCGTTCCTCACCACAAGTCACTTGTAAATTAAGTTGCTGTATTATTACTTTAGTTTAGCTATTTTAATGAGCTTTTATACAGGTGTCATATTTTTAGTAGCTAGTCATTTGATAACGAGAATCAGTCTATGTGAAATTAAAAGTTTGCTTTCCCCAAGCTTACTATAATTCTGAATTAAGTCTCAGTAATTCTGAAATAATTCTAGCATCCTATAGTGAGTAAATTCTGAATTTGTTCTGAAATGGATTGTTTAGTGGCACAGACTAGAACTCAGTGCTAGTTTTCTGCATAACTAGCGCTAATTCAGCACTGTATTCTTTTTTATGCATTGTCAGGAGTAGATCAGAACCTACCGGGTTTGCTTATCAGCTTTATTTCAGCCCTTTCAGATCATTTCCAGCACTGGCTAGCATTACTTTAGAACGAAAAGACTCGATGTGGGATCCTACATCGAATTACATAAAATAATGTGTAGTATCATCTAAGTAATTTCATATACTCTCGTCGCTTTCAAACAAACAAAACTGTATGACAGAATTCGAATCATAAGGATGATTTCAACCTGTTAACCATTCATTCAAACTAGCTAGAGTAAAAGTTTAAATTCAGCGTGAATTAGGGGAAAAGCAAGACTATAATTTCGTAATAATTAAGAATGTTCTTTACATAGAAATTTATAAAATACATTTGAATATAAAACAGACCATTAATTTACCTTAGAAATTGTTCCTTTCCGAAATAAGCTTGCCATGATGACACCGACTTGATGGTCGAATGGCCGCCAACTGTGACCTTGTCCGTGAATGATGTTGATTGGGTTTTGGATTTTTGTGTCATTTATATAGGTCACGATATACCGTGTTCCTATTGGCTGAAAATCACATCCAAAATTCATTTCTAATTATATGTTTTCTATGTATTCATTATTGTGTTAGCCAATAACATTGAGGTGCAGGGAATTTGATGTTTGCTAAGACTCAGACAGTGGAGGCAGTTGGTCTGACTGCATTCTATAGGAATATTGGTAAACATTTATTCAAATTAATTTGGATAGCCTGACAAGTCACTGAACTGTTTTAGTGCATTTGAACAGTTACGTCCAAATTTTAGCTTGTACATAGTCCTGTTTATACTAACAGAATACTGCTATCGCTAGCTCTCATCAGGTTGTGACGTCCAGAGCACAGGTCAAAATCGTAGCATAGTGATTTACCGAATGCTTGTGTCAAAGAAATAAACAAAATTTACTTAAGCCTAAAAGTCAGATTCCGGTTTGCAGTCCCCCGGGGTACATTAAAATATAAATAATTCTTCAGCATTTGGTGGCTTTGTATATAGAATAATCCTGAATTCATTGCACCGTATGAAAACAAGCTGTGCATATTTATCTGCACTGTACTGGCTGTTTTCCACTGTAATTGAAGTCCACCTAAAATATTCATCTATAGGTGTGGCGACAGCTGAGTTCAGATTCAGATTTGTCGACTGATGACAGAAGGCTTGGAGCTTGGGAATTAAAGCTGAAACTAAGTTAAATGTTAAGTATCTAGAATTATGTCTTTCCTCTGAGCTTTCCCAGTTGTCTCATAATCTGTTGTTTTCTAAAAAAAATATTTCGTCCAAGCATTTACATAAGGAAGTTAAGACAGCGTAATATAAGAACAAGACATATAAGCGAACAATATTGTTTTCAATTAGATCTTCATCAGGCTTTACTCTAATTTACATAGACTTATATATAAAAATTTTAACCAATGACGGTGATTTTGTGGATCAAATAATAATAATAGTAATAAAAATAATAATGTGGTAAATGTTTTGAACGAAGTTGATAACGTTGATTATAATGATAACAAAATATTGATAATAAGGTTTATACAGGTGATAAGAATAACAAAGATGGTATATATGCATATACTATACACATATATGCATGCATGTATGTGTATATGTAGACAATTCAATAAATAAATAAATTAGGTCAAATCAAATGGAACGATAATCAGAGTTTAAATAAATATCATAAAAGTACGAAGGAGTTGGTTGATAAGACAGGGTGGGAGGGTTTTGAATAGAATTCACCTAGGCCAAGGGAGAGACAAGGGTAGAACAAATTTCTTTTGTATACAAAGACTATGATTGTTCTCTCGGATTCCCATAACTTTGGCTAAGTGTAAAAGACGGGTTCTGATTCCGTTCGAAAGACTCGATGGAATACGACAGATAACTTTGAAGGCACTATTTTTGTCGACTTCGTGACCGCTATCAATCAAATGAGCCAAAATAGAACTTCGTATGGATTTTATTTGACGTTTTCCGAACCATGAAGGAAGATGCTCATTAATGCGTCTGTTAAGCTGTTTGGTTGTTCGGCTTATATAGTGTAATATAACACAGCCTCCACTTTCAAACTGTGTTAACTATTGTATTCAGTCTATTCTTTTTTATTCCTCTCCGGTAATCTTCCCTGTGGAACTTAAAAAAGACTTTGTCACATTGCGAAGGATACTAAAAACTGTCAGGAGGACGAGTACAGTGTCACTAAACTAACCCGTTATTATTGTTGTGGATAAACACTTGTGCTCGTGAAAGAAATTGGTGGTTATCATCCTGTCGGACTGTCATTGCCCTTGCACCTCAACAGACAGGACCAGAGGGAGTTATAAAAGACTTTATGTGCACATAATTTTGGTACAAAACTTATTTCGCACACATCTTATGTAACGAAAACAGTGTTAGTCATGAAACTAGTGACTTACTGCCAAATGGTAAATAAACAGCTCTTGCATTCTTCCCATCATTAACATATTATTGGCATTATATCTACTGATTTTTAATTTTAATTTGATTTTGAATTTTGAATAAAATTAATATTAATGTAAATGTCCTGTTAATTATTTTTCTTCTACACGGCCCCCCCCCTAGAGGTCCGGAGAGACCACCGGAAAATGATAAGTAAAACTGTGAAGTAAATAATAATAGTAATAACAATTTTTGGATAAAAATAGGGATATATTACAACATGCATAAACGCGAGAAGGTATGTGAATCATGTAAAGTCTGAAAGCATATACAATGAGTTCAGCAATAAAAATTGAAATAGAAAGTCATGTCACTTAAATTTGCACTAACCATGAACATAGATTTTTAATGTATAAAGAAAAATATGTAAATACACAGTAATTAAGGAGGGGAAAGAAACATTAAAAAATATGGATTAAAGATCAATAGTTTTTGAAAAGGACCATACCTGTTTTTTAGGTGAGGTACATATAAATAAATAATAGTGATAGTAACATCAAAGTTTACGACGAAATACTAACGGTCATGATGATAATGTCTAAACGAAAAAGATAATAATAATTTTAATTATATATTTTTTTTTTAGTCCTCAAAATGAACGTAGCGAGCCGGTTTACTGATTTGCCGACCACTACGTGTTTGATATGGAGGGAGGATAAGACTTGGTGCCGGTGGAGTGGAATCGGATGTTTGATTATTTGATTGCGCAGCTGCCGATGTAGATTCGAAGTCGTTGTCGGTGTATGCGGGTTTGATTCGATCAATTGAAATAGTCTCTCGTTTTCCATTCTTGTTCACTGTAAAGTGTTTGTCTGAACGTTTAATAACTTGAAAGGGTCCTTCGTATGGAGGTTGCAATCCTTTTCTGATGGCGTCGACTCGAATGAAGACGAATTTGCAAGTTTGTAGATGTTTGTTGATCTGATCTCGTCGGGGAGATTGTCGAGGTGCTGTTGGTTGAAGTTGAAGCATTTGTCTAGTTAATCGGTTAGTGAAGTCGGCAATGTTCACGTCTGTGGAATCGGCTGAGGGGACTAGCTGTCCAGGCAAGGTTAGGTTGGTGCCATAGACAAGTTGAGCCGGTGTACATCCTAAATCTTCTTTGATAGTAGATCGGATACCAAGTAAAATCAAAGGTAAGTATTCACTCCACTTAGATGTATCATTCTGCGCCATCAGGGAGCTTTTCAGTTGTCTGTGGAATCTTTCCACTAGACCATTCGCTGCCGGATGATAGGCTGTTGTGGAGATATGTTTCACTCCCAGAAGTCTCGTCAGTTCGCGAAAGAGTGTCGATTGGAATTGAGGACCGCGGTCGGATGTAATAGTAGTTGGTACACCGTAGTTTGACACCCAACGGTCGAGAAAAACTAAAGCAACGTTTTCAGCAGATATGTCGTTTAAGGGGCATGCAATAGCCCAACGAGTAAATCTATCAATCGCTGTCAGGATATGTGTATATCCCCTTGATGTTGGCAATGGTCCCACGATATCTATATGGATATGCTGAAATCTCCTTTCGGGTAATTCAAACGTCTTCGGGGTTGTAATAGTGTGGCGGTGTACTTTGGAGCATTGGCATTGGATACATTCTCGTGCCCATCTCCGAATGTCAGAGTTCATTTTAGGCCACACGAAGCGTTCGCTGATCAGTCTGACCGTGGCGCGTACTCCAGGGTGAGAAAGCGAATGTAAATGTTCGAACAATGCTTTTCGGCAACTGAGAGGGACAAATGGACGATTAGTGCCGGTAGATACATCGCAGACTATGGTTGCATCTGATAAGGGGATAGGCACATCTTTGAGCTGTAAGGAAGAGTTTCTGCGGCAGGTTTGGAGTTCAACGTCATCTCTTTGTAATTGAGCCATACGATCAAGACTGATGTCTACCGACGTTTGGAGCTGGTTAATGTCACTTCTTGAAAGAGAATCGGCTACCACGTTCGCATCCCCTTTGATGTACTGGATGTCGGTTGAAAATTGGGAGATATAATCCAACTGTCTGGCTTCTCTAGGGGAGTGTTTATCGAGTGAAGTAGTGAAAGCATGACACAGGGGCTTGTGGTCAGTAAAAATAGTGAAATGCCGGCCCTGTAGTAAGTAACTGAAATGCTTCACTGCAAGATATATGGCCAGCAATTCTCTCCCAAAAGTGCTGTATCGTGTCTGAGCCGGTTCCAACTTCTTAGAAAAGAATGCGAGTGGGGTGACTTCGCCCTTCATCTTTTGTTGTAATACTGCCCCTACAGCTACTTGGGAGGCATCTGTGCACAAAATAAGCGACGCTTCGGGGTTGATATGGGATAGCATAGTGACTCTGGATAAGGCATCTTTTGCGTTGCAAAATGATTCGTGTGCTTCAGCTGACCACTGAAACTTTTTAGGATCATTTTTAAGGAGGTCGGTTAACGGCTGGACGATGGAGGCACACGAAGGAATGAAACGCCGATAGAAATTAAACATCCCCAAAAAACGTCTGACCTTCTTGAGTGAATCTGGTTCGGGGAAGTTTTTGATGGACTCTATCTTTTCCTCCGTAGGCGTAATACCATTCGCGGTTATGTGGTGTCCCAGAAACTGTATAGAGGAGACACCGAATATGCACTTTTTGGGGTTAATGACGACTCCATATTGCTCAAATCGTTGAAATAAGATGGTGAGGTGATCAGTATGTTCTTCGGGCGACGAGCTAGCAATTAAAACGTCATCGATATATACAAATACAAAGTCCAAACCTTGTGTGACCTGATCCATGAAACGTTGGAAGGATTGTGCTGCGTTCTTTAGGCCAAATGGCATGCGGAGAAATTCAAACAAACCGAAAGGTGTGATGATGGCCGTTTTTTCGATATCCTCTTGGGCAACTGGTATTTGGTGATAGGCCCTGACCAAGTCTACTTTAGAAAAAATGGTTTTTCCGTGTAATGTCAGGGAGAAATCATGAAGATGAGGAATAGGATAACGGTCGGGAACTGTGGCATTGTTTAAATGTCGGTAATCCCCACATGGCCTCCAATCATGATCAGCTTTAGGCACCATGTGTAAGGGCGAAGACCAAGGACTATTGGAGGGTCTGATGATGCCGAGCTGCAT